TAGTTGGGGAAAAAACAAAAAAAAACAGGCTTTAGGCAGAACCTGTATAACAGGGGAGAAGCGAAGAGTTCTAGGCAGAGAATTTGACATACCCAAAAGTACTGTGTGGTGACTAAACAGAATCTGGGCCATGGGGGCAGTGTACAGAGAGTTAGAGTTTTTTTTAGGTTTTTGCCCTAGGGCATATGAGCTCAACAGAAAGAGACAGAGAAAGGGAAAGTGAGGAATCCCCTCCACCCCCAGGGGGCATGGCCATGCTGCAATACCCTCTCCTCCATTCTCCTCTCAGGACTTTGGGCATGTGCACACATGCACCTGGTGTGATGTTCAAGCTACCAGGTCCAGGAATCAAACCGCAGTCAGCCATTTGGGAGTCCAGGACCTTAGCCACCACGCCCCCCACTGGCGCTGAGAACTAGCCATGTTTAACACTGTGTACACATTACTTGGCTTTGTTGCTTCATCTTCATCGTCCGAGCAATGGCTTTAAACTGGTTGTGAATTCTTTTCCACATATGGCCACAACATAGCTGGAGCAAGTGAAATGCACTACGGTCATGAGATATGAGACCAGAGTGTGTGGGGCCAGATTGCAACTGGTTCTATAGCCATCTTGATTATTAGTTGGTAGTTGAGAGGACCCTATAATCTCTGATTCTTGAAAAGTCATCTAATACCAGAACCACAGAATCTTAATTAGTCCTATATAATTCATACTAAATTGAGAGGCCCTATGTTTCCCTTAAAATACCCCATAACAGTAACAAAAACATATACTTGTCTTTTTTTAAAGAGTTATTTATTTAATTTAATTTATTATTATCCTTATTATTATTTTAATTTGCTAAAGGGCACGTGTGTTACCCAGAGAGAGAGAAAAAGAGAGAGAGAGAGAGACAGACAGACAGACAGCAAGCTACCAGGTCTGGGACTCAGACTGCAGTCAGCCATGTGGGAGTCCAGCACCTCAACCATCATGCCACCTTCTGGCCCTGCATGCTTGTCTTTAATTGATAGAGGATTTCTTGGAAATCTCCATTTTATCCTAAAAATTGCTAAGACTTTTACATTTTATTCCATATTACTGCTTGCTTTTGTAACTGGAAAAAAATGCTGCATATCACTAGGTAAAATTGATACTCCCATAAGAAGGTAATTCATACTTATCTCATGGCATCTAATGCACTCCAGTTCGTTTCCCCTCTGTCTATGAAGAATGTATGTATCCCCAGGATTGCTACAATGGAAAGTCCGCACAATCAGAAAAGCATTAGTGTCTTGTGGATTCTCTCTCTCTTATTGAAAAAAACTGATAACTATTTTGAGGAATTTTAGTGAATATTAATCTCAGTTATTATATTTATATTTGCTATTGTGAGTATCATTAAGAACTGGCTTAGGGGCCAGCAGATGGCATGGTGGTTAAGGCACTGGACTCCCACATGGCTGACCATGGACTGACCTGACAGCTTAAAAATTACACTCTGTGCATGTGAGTCCATGCTCAGAATCCCAGGAGGAGAATGGAGGAGAAGGGATTGCAGCATGGCCATCCCTTCAAGGGATGATTTCTCTTTTTCTCTCTCACTGTCTCCCTCTGTCTCTCTCTGGTGAGCACACATGCACTATGGCAAAACCCTTTAAAAAATAAAAAAAAGAGAGCTGGGTTAGTCCTACAATGCTATACTGTAGCAAAACATACACAAGCTACTTTGAAATCTGAGGTATTAGGTATTCTTTTCTATTGGTGAACCTAATCCGTTATTCTGGTAAGGAACCAACAAGATAAATCTTTACCTCTGAAAAAGTTCTTAGACCAAACTTGTATGTTTTAAAAACTGAAAATCAAAGGGCCAGCATATGATGTAATGGTTACATTGCTGGATATCCACATAGTCCACCAGAGTTGGAGTTCCAGATTCAGTCACTTAAAACTCACTCTGGGTGCATGCCTGTGTGCGCAAATCCTGAGAGAAAAATGGACAAGGGGTTGTGGTGTGGCCACCCCCCCCCACGGGGTGATTTCTCACTTTCTGTCTCTCTGTCTCTCCAGTGAGGGCATGCACCCTATAGCAAAAAAATTTCTCTTTTAAAAAATTGAAAATCCGGGACCAGCAGTTAGCGTAATGGCTATGTCGCTGGACTCCCATGTAGTCGACCGTGGTTCGCGTCCCGGACCGGGTGGCTTAAAACTCACACCGGGCGCGTGTGCATGCGTGCCCAAGATCCCGAGAGGAGAATGGAGGAGAAGGGACTGCGGCGTGGCCATCCCGCCTGGGGGATGATTTCTCGCTTTCTGTCTCTCTGTCTCTCTGTCTGTCTCTGTCTGGCTGGCAAGTGCACACGCCCAAAAGCAAAAACCTCTCAAAAAAAAAAAAATTGAAAATCCAATTCTAGAGGGAAAATGTTCTACCAGTGCTCAACTGCCCTTAAGGGTTATTAATGATAATGCCTGACTTGATACCTTGATTTGAAAATCTGTACTGAATGGCAGGCATATTAATTGTACATATTTCCTATCATTAGACCCATAGAACCTGCCTTTCAGTTTATAATGAAACTTACTTATAGAACTTTTATATAATGAAAATTAATTATAAAACTGTTTATAATGAAAATTAATTATAGAACTTTTTTGGTGTTCACAGTCTCATAATGTAAGCTTCTTTATTATTTGTCCTCTCAAAGTGTCTGCATGAATCTGTGACCCAGAAATCCAAAAACAGTATAAAAATAAACAGTAACTTGTGTATATCATATAAAAAGACCTTCCTGATCCCACCTCTGGCTCTCTAACATAATATTCAGCAAATACTCAACCTGCAGTCTCCATTCCAATCTTGAAACTACTAGCAGTTTTTCAAACTTATCATGCTTTTTTTTTTTTTTTTTTTGGAGAGGTTTTTGCTATAGCGTTTGCACTCACCAGAAAGACAGGGACAGAGAGACAGAAAGCGAGAAATCACCCTCGGGGGGTGGGAGGATGGCCACACAGCAATCCCTTCTCCTCCATTCTCCTCTCAGGATGTTGGGCACACACACACACGTGCCAGCGTGAGTTTAAGTCACTGGGTCCGGGACTCGAACCGTGGTCGACTACATGGGAGTTTAGCGACATAGTCATTACGTTAACTGCTGGTCCCAACATACCATGCTTTTTCAACCCTCTGGGTAGATTTCCTTCCCTACTCCACATTGTCTCCCTCTTGATCATTCCCTCCTATGGTGGTCACTTACTCTAGTGGTATTGAAATGGAAATGGTTAGAGTATGGGCAAAAATACCAACATGGTACTGAACCAATAGTGCCTTATTAAAATTATAGTTATGGGTGGGAACAGCAGTTAGCATAATGGCTATGTTGCTAAACTCCCATACTGACCGCAGTTCGAGTCCTGGACCTGGTGGCTTAAACTCGAGGTGGGCACGTGTGCGTGTGTGCCCAAGATCCTAAGAGGAGAATGGAGGAGAAGGGATTGAGTGTGGCCATCCCCCCAGGGGGGTGATTTCTCACTTTCTGTCTCTGTCTTTCCGGTGAGTGCATGCACCCTATAGCAAAAACCTCTGCAAAAAAAAATAATAATAATTATAGTTATGGGTTATGATAATGAATATATATTAGTAAGATGGAGAGAGGTAATAGAGTATATTTAGAATTTAGAAATACAGAATGATAGTAGTGAATTTCATGACTGGAGTGAACCAACGGAAGGAGGTAAGGAAACAAGTGATCCTTAGAGTAGCAATCTTTTGACTATTCTATAGAATATAAAAATGAGAGAGAGGGACCAGCAGTTGGCGTAATGGCTATGTCGCTGGACTCCCACGTAGTCGACTGCGGTTCACATCCCGGACCCAGTGGCTTAAAACTCACGCTGGGCGCGTGTGCGTGCATGCCCAAGATCACTCCCTAAGGGAGAATGGAGAAGAAGGGATTGTGGTGTGGCCATCCCCCCTGGGGGGTGATTTCTCGCTTTCTGTCTCTCTGTCTCTCTCTGTCTGTCTGGCGAGCACACGCACCCTATAACAAAAAAGAAAAAAAAAAAATGAGAGAGAAGATTGGAAAAGAACAGAGTCCAGAATTTAAAAGCATTGACTTGACCTTCATTCTGATAGAAATATAAAGATATTTTGGTTGGCTCTGTGGTGCAGAGGTAATGAAAGATTTCTGATCAAAAAGGTACATGTCAGCCTTACAAAAGTAAGCCCAATAGCAATGTGTAGGGTGTGTGAGGTAGTAGGTTAGAATTCCATGATAATTTTCATATTCTTTCTTCTCTAAATAAATGAGAATTGTATTTGAGCTATGACCTTACTGAAACAATACTGGTATTATGGTAGAAAATCTCTTCACTCCTTCCAATAGAATGTCATCTCTTCCTCACAGCAGGAAGACCAAACAGTTACTCTATATTGTCGCCATTACCAAAACATTGATTAAAAAATGCTTTGGGGGCTTGCCTAAACCCATTTTAAATTCTCTTAAGTGCTGCTTACGGACTTAAATTTTATTTCATCATAGGTACAATCTTAAAACTAATTTCACTTTGAAAGAACTGCTTTACAGATTTAGGTGTGTTGTATTCATTTTCACTTTTAATTTTCCTTTGCTTTCTCAAGTTACACAAAAATTTGTGTTAATGCTAGTTGACTTTATTTTATAAATATGTAATTATCCATGTACATTTTATGTACCTATTTTTATAAATAAGTATTTTATTCTCATAATCGGAAAAAAGATTAAACATTTTGAATAATTGAATAGTCTTGGTTGAATCTAATATTGATACTAAATATATATAGTCATAAGATTATTTTAGAATTCAAAAGGTGAAAATAATGAAAAGTAAAATAAGTAACAGTTACTAAGTTTATTACTAAACTTCCTAGGAAAATTGTTTGTGGACATAGTAATACCTTGATCACTTTTTACATTTTAACCTGTTTTTCTAAACATTATAATGATTAAGGATAATACATGGACATGATTTTCTTTTTAAGGAAAAAGAACGGTTGAAGCAAGAGAAACGTGATGAGAAAAGATTAAACAAAGAACGTAAATTAGAACAACGAAGGTTAGAATTAGAAATGGCAAAGGAATTAAAGAAGCCTAATGAAGACATGTGCTTAGCAGACCAAAAGGTAATTTATGAATCAGGTGAACTGTCTCAAGAAAGTTTAATTTTTCCTGTTTTCTCACCTGATTCCTTTGCCAGAGCTGCTATTATGAAAGCCTTTTGTGTTTAACTAGAGCAGTGAATTTGCAAGTGCAGATCACTTTGCTTCTCCTGGATAACCACCAATAAACCTCTCTGGGGCTCCTTTGCTGATAACGATAGTTAATATATAAGCAGAGCACTGCAAACCTTTTTAAGTACAAATGCTGCAGAAATCTTTGGGAAGAACTATAAAAGTAGCTAAGATTTCCAAGCTTCTTTTGATCTTTCTCAAGTATTCAGATACAGAAAAATCTTACGTACACTCCTCTAGATACTTAAATAAACTAGGATTTATACTCTGTAACCTCTTTCCATGCTTTACTATGCACCAGGCACCATGCTAAGCACTTGCTTCTCTCCCATTTAATCCTCAACACAGACCTGTGGAGGTAGTATTTATCCCCATTTGTAGTTTAAAGGACCTGTTCAAGATTAAACTACAGTTTGGCAGTTATACTAAAAGTGGCAATTTGGACTCAAGCCATATTTGTTAAACTCCATAATGTTTATCATCCTGAAAGGCAAGAAATTGTGCCTAACCAGAACGTATCAAATGTGTGTTCTCTTCCATAGTGCCTCGTATTGTTAAAATATGTACAAGTACATATTTAGAAAGATCAAAATAATCTTGGCAACTCGCATGACTTCATAAAGTTTTGAAGAAATCAATTATGTTTTCAGTATACTTAAGAAGATGATATTTCTGGGAAATTATATCAATAATACATATCATCTCTATAATATGAACCCATAATATATGATTATAATTGGTCTATAACATCCCAGTTTACTTATATTTCGCATTCATCTGGCTAATGATTATCTCTTAATTTACATAAATGCTTTTCTAAAGTGCTTAAGACAAAACTTTTAATATCTTAGTAGGGATTTAATTATGTTCATATTCTATTTATTTATTTAGCATTAATGCTTTTAAGTGAAAAATGAAAGTATATTTAATAGCTTTAGTAGTTTGGATATTTACATTTTTCTAAGTAAAGAATGTGTATGTAAGTTAGTTATTAACATGTTTAGTTTAGGCTCAGAATAAGTATTTTTAGTCCTGAGCTTTATTTTCTTGTATTTTTAAATTTTCATTTAAATTCATATTGCTATACCAAATATATCAGTTCATTTTAAGTCAGACTTTTTTTAGCTTTATATGTTCTATAAAGTTTTAGAATTCTTTGGAAATGCATATATCTGATATAGTTTGGGAAAAAGGAGTCTCCAAATTAACTGGTTTCAAATGGAACATAAAAGGCTTGTCTAGGGTCAGATATCCATAATTCTGTGTTTCCACACACTATTACTAAAGGCATTTGGTTACGTATTTTAGGAAATACAGAGTAGAGGAATATTTTTGGCAATGACCAGTTTAGGTAAATAGAAATATTATGTCATTTTTCCCATTAATATTTAAAATAGTTTTTTTAATCTCATTTATGAGTTATTTTACATTTAGATTACCTATTTATTGAATTTTTTAAATGTCTGCAGATAGTACTACAATTTAGTCATTGAAATGTCAAGATGTGAGCACATGTGAGAAGTAGCAAGATAGCTTTCTAATTTTAATACTGAAACTCATACTACTGTGTCTCTTAGGGAAACCTAAAGACATTAAGTTACATTATAGCTGGTGATGAGAAAAGATTGTGTTCAGAGTCATGGATTCTGGTTATGAGGACCCAATAATTTATCTTCATTACTTAGCCATAAATGACATTACTTCTCTATTTTTTTTGTTTTTTTAGAGAGGTTTTTGCTATAGGGCGTGTGCGCTCGCCAGACAGAGAGACAGAGAGACAGAAAGCGAGAAATCACCCCCCAGGGGGGGATGGCCACGCCACAGTCCCTTCTCCATTCTCCTCTCAGGATCTTGTGCACGCACGCAAACACGCCTGGCGTGAGTTTTAAGCCACCGGGTCCGGGACGCGAACCGTGATCAACTACGTGGGAGTCCAGTGACATAGCCATTACGCTAACTGCTGGTCCCGACATTACTTCTCTCAACCATATAGAGCCCACAGACACTTGCTGTTAGTTTCTGAATTACCAAAAAAAAGGTGATTTTTAAATGTTTCCATCATTAGAAGAAATTCACACACATGTCCCTGCTTTTTATGGTAAAGTATTTTTGAAAAGTTTCTTAGGTTAATTTTGCTCTAGTTATATACCCATGTCTTATCAATATGTTAATTAAAATTAGTATTTTTTTCAGAGATCTAAGTTCAAATTGTATTCAATTAAAATGTATTAGTGGTTGCTTCTGTTTAAGACAGAATGCTTACTTACTACAATAGGACTTGCGGAAATGTCCCCAGGTATTAAATTATTATTCAAATTATTATTCAAGTGCAGCTCATTTTACTTCAGAAGCCAGCATTAAAAATTTTAAATTACTTTTTTATTGTATTCATATATTTTAAAATTTCATTTTCAGCCTTTGCCAGAGTTGCCTCGTATTCCAGGACTTGTTCTCTCTGGAAGTACATTTTCAGACTGTCTCATGGTGGTGCAGTTCTTACGAAACTTTGGTAAAGTTTTGGGCTTTGATGTGAATATTGATGTTCCAAACCTGAGTGTTCTTCAAGAGGGATTGCTAAATATAGGGGACAGCATGGGTGAAGTACAAGACTTGCTTGTGAGGCTCCTCTCAGCTGCTGTATGTGATCCAGGTCTAATAACAGGATACAAGGTAAAAAACCCAAAATATAAAAAAAAAAATGTATTTTAAACTTTATACTCTTAGTGTATTGGTAGCTAGATTTAGCATATTCGCAGATTATATAGACTGATCCAGTTTTTTTATTAATTTCTCACAAAACTAAATGTAGGTTTGCATCATTTACAGACTTGATACATACATAGAAAAACGTAGTTATAAAGGTTAAGCAGTGTAGACCATTCTCAAGTTACCCTCTTCTTTTCTAGCTGTAGGCAAGAGCCAAGTTGATTTAAGGAAATACCCAAGTGATATTCATCAAAATCAGAGAATTTGTTATTCATAAAACAATCAGAAGTTGTATGCACCTTCTGAAATTACACTTTGTTCTCTTTCAATCATCGTGAATAACTGAGACTAATCAAGGCACCTCGAGACAGCATGTTAAGACTCTGTACCATTCAGTGAATGTTCAATAAGTTCAAATTTATCCTCATTCCATTTAACATACACATTCCAGCTAGTTAATGTGGTAGAGAGAGAAGCTCTAAAATTCATTTGTTAAAATTTTCCTCCATCTTCCTATTCATCCATTAAACAGGCAATAAAAACCATGACACCCTAAAGCTAGAAAATATAATAATGCTTTTAAACCTCCCTACCCCATTACTGATAAATGGCTAGATAAAGCCTGAGAAAGCTTGATAGATGATTTAAAGTTTCTACTACCCATAAGTATATATACTTGTCTTTCTGCCTGACGTTAAACCAAGGATTCAAGAAAGAACAGAAAATTCAGGTTCATGAGTATTTGTCTATCATCTGTTGCCTTTTTTTATATCTTCACTTCATCAAAAATGTGAATTAGCTCTTGTCAGAAATATCTAGAACATATGCTATCAGTATATTTAATATTACTGTTTTTAGTTTTATAAATGGTTAAGATCAATACTGATAAAAATGCCGAACTTTTATAGGCCAAAACAGCCCTTGGAGAACATTTACTGAATGTTGGTGTGAATAGAGACAATGTTTCCGAGATTTTGCAGATTTTTATGGAAGCCCACTGTGGACAAACTGAGCTTACTGAAAGCCTGAAGACCAAAGCTTTTCAGGCTCACACTCCAGCACAGAAAGCCTCAGTCCTGGCTTTCCTGATCAATGAACTGGCATGCAGCAAGAGCGTGGTGAGGTAAGCATGCACCCAAACTTTTCTGCTCATTATTTTCTGTTTTGAATTTTTCAAATCACTAAGTATTATAACTTGCTTATAGCAAATTTAGACGTTACAAACTAACCAAAGAAGAAAAAATATACCTGATGTCATCATTCAGATATGGCAACCAATAATGTTGTAATGTATTTCTTTGTGTCTATGTTTAAAAACTTGAATCACACTGTGTATATGAGGGAACTTCTTAAAATTCATAGAAAAATGGAATTAAAGTCCATGTTTATTTGGTGCACAACTATTTTTGAAATCCATGAATAGTTTTTTCATAATATGCATTTTCCACAATTCTTTGTAGACCCCCTTCATATGTTATAATCTTTGTCATATTTTTATTTAATAATTTTGTTAATTATGTATATACTGGATATTTTAATTTTTTTTTCTTGTTATGAACCAGAATCCAGCACTGTCATGGTAATCCAGAATTAGGCTTTCCTTGACATCTTTTGAGGACAAATGACTACTTAATTTTCTTCAGTGGCCATTCAGAGACTTAATTGAGCCACTTTTTTATTGTTTTGTGTTAATACACAAAATTTTTCAGTGTATTAATTTGTACTTTTTGACAAAGTCATTTCATTTAAGAATCAAAGTATGTCTTCTACTTTAATACTTGTTAATAATCAAATACTAGTACTCCAGTGTTCCAAGATTTATGAACAAATCCATGTTTATCTTATTCTTGTTCATTATTTTATGGATTTTAATTATGTTACTTTTAGCCCTTTATGTTTCTCGAAGGAGGGATCAATTCCAGTATATACAACCATGTGTTTCTGTATTGGGTGAACATTTTAAGTTTTCTGTACATACCCTAGCTATGATCATGGTATTATACTTTTTCATTTGATTTTTCTGTTGATTGACAAATGTCCCAAAAATGTGATAATATTTTTGCAATTTCTTGAAAGAACAATTTTATAAAGCATGAGCATAATAACAAATAGTAATACTGAATAGCACTTATTTAAATCATACATACGCAAATTCAGTATAAACAATACACTGTGGCTTTTACTTTAGCAGAAGAAAACCACCACGGTTTGACTTATTACTATCTCCAGATAGCATAATACTCTTAGTTTCTGTTGGACATTTAAAATACATGTAAATATCCATGCATATTATGATTTCCTTATATTTTGGAAATTATCACATATTAAATATATGCAAACCAAAGGTTGGAATGTTTTTTGTTTTGTTTTGTTTGTTTGTTTTAGTGTTTGCTATAGGGTGCATGTTCTTGCAAGAGAGAGAAAGTGAGAAATCACCCCCTGGGGATATGGCCACACTACAGTCCCTTCTCCTATGTTCTCCTCTTGGCATTTTGGGCACACATGCACATACAATAATTTTCAAGACACCAAGTCTGGGACTTGAACCATGGAATTGGTCATGTGGGACCAGCCACCTTAACCTCCATACTACCTACCTGTTGGCCTGGAATGTTGTCTTTCTAAGGCAGTTAGAAGATAGCTCCTTTCTTGTGTTAAGGTAGAAACCACAGCAAATTTTCTAATACTGGATGTATCCATGAGTAGTTTTGAAATCCATGAATAAAAAGATGACTTTTCAACATATATATATATATATATATTACAATATATATATGAACACATACATGTATGTACATGTATACAAAAGCAGTGAAATCATTTTACTTACCAAAAATTAATTTTTTTATTATATAAATGGATTAATTTTTCTTTTAATAAATTTTTTCATTGGCAGTGAAATCGACAAGAACATTGACTATATGTCAAATTTGAGGAGAGATAAGTGGGTGGTAGAAGGGAAACTCCGCAAGTAAGTCCTGTTTTATTAAGTTAATATACTGTTTTCCTTTTGTATGTGTTTTCAATGAAGCATGTGAATTGCAAAGACAGAATTTGTAAGAATTTAAACTTTATTTTGTCTAAAGAAAAGATAATGCTGGGAACCAGCAGTTAGCATAATGGCTATGTCACTGGACTCCCATGTAGTCGACCACGGTTCGTGTCCTGGACCTGGTGGCTTAGAACTCACGCTGGGCGCGTGTGCGTGCGTGCCCAAGATCCCGAGAGGAGAATGGAGGAGAAGGGATTGCGGCATGACCATCCCCCCTGGGGGGTGATTTCTCACTTTCTGTCTCTCTGTCTCTCTGTCTGGCAAGCGCACGCACCCTATAGAGAAAACCTCTCCAAAAAAAAAAGAAAAGATAATGCTTATTTTAGAATATGAAATGAATAAAACTTAGGGACAAACTATGCAATGGACAAAAGATATGGGATTCATTGAGCTTAGATGCTTCAAACTTTAAAGAATATCATTTTCTTTCATAGAAGTCAAGCAATCATATTTTCCATTTTCTTTTCTTTTCTTTTCTTTTCTTTTCTTTTTTTTTTTTTTTTTTTTTTGTTTAACACTTTTTCCTGGGGGTGTTTGTGCTTGCCCAAGAGAAACAGATAGAAAAAGTGAGAGGGAGATTTTCAAGCCACTGCCTGGGGCTGCAGTCCCTTCTCCTTTAGTCTCTTTTAGGCACGCATGCACATGCACCCAGTGTGATTTTCAAGCCACTGAGTCTGGGACTTGAACTGCCATCAGCCATGTGGGAGTCCAGCACCATAACCACTATACCACCTACTGGCCCTGCAATCACATTTTTTAAGATTCTTGTTGATATCAGGTTACTTTTGTCATAGAATCTGTTTAGAACTACTACTTTTTTCTTAATTTCTTTCTAATTAAAATTTGGTTTTATCAAGCCTAATTAAACTTAGTCAACATTAAAACTTAATTACCTTTCTTGTAGGAAATACCATACTAAAACTATTCAACTTCTATGTTGAGGGTAGTCTCTTTATAGTTATTTGAATTGAAATTTATTCAGTCAGATAGAATGGGATCAAGAATTATCACTTAGCCATTGGTAGAATTAATCTTGCAATTTTCATGGTTTCTGTAAAAATGTGCTTTATTTCCAAAGAGATGTCCAGAGTTATTCTTGAAGGGTAATATGTTCTGAAATTTATAAAAACCTATGTCTCGGGAACCAGCAGTTAGCGTAATGGCTATGTCGCTGCACTCCCATGTAGTCAACCACGGTTTGCGTCCTGGACCCAGTGGCTTGAAACTCACGCCAGGCGCATGTGCGTGCGTGCCCAAGATCCCAAGAGGAGAATGGAGGAGAAGGGATTGTGGCATGACCATCCCCCCTGGGGGGTGATTTCTCGCTTTCTGTCTCTATGTCTCTCTCTGTCTGTCTGGCGAGCGCATGCTCCCTAGAGTGAAAAATCTCTCAAAAAAAAAAAAAAAAACCTATGTCTCAGATTTCAATACTAATTTTTATTGCCATCAATATATTGCTCTTTTTTTGGAGAGGTTTTTGCTATAGGGCATGTTTGCTCGCCAACCAGACAGAGACAGACAGAAAGCAAGAAATCACCCCCCAGAGGGGATGGCCACGCCACAATCCCTTCTCCTCCATTCTCCTCTTGGTATCTTGGGCACGCACACACACACGCCTGGCATGAGTTTTAAGCCACCAGGTCTGGGACTCGAACTGCGGTCGACTACATGAGAGTCTAGTGACATAACCATTATGCTAACTGCTGGTCCCGATATATTGCTTAATATGAGAGAATTGCCATAAGGTATTTTGCTTTTAAAACTCATGTTATGATCTTTAAATGTATAGAGAAAAGCCTTTTATCCTGTATCATCAGTTTTTGTAATATTTAAAGGCTCAGAATTATTCATGCTAAGAAAACTGGCAAAAGAGACACTTCGGGGGGCATTGACCTTGGAGAAGAGCAGCATCCTTTAGGCACACCCACTCCAGGACGCAAACGAAGGAGAAAGGGAGGAGACAGTGATTATGATGATGATGATGATGATGATAGCGATGACCAAGCTGATGAGGATGATGAGGATGAAGATGATAAAGACGACAAAAAAGGAAAGAAGACTGATATCTGTGAAGATGAGGTAATGAAATTTAGTTTGATTTCAGGACAACCAGAACTACATATCTTAAAAATAACACAGAATTTGGAGTGAAATGGATTTGGATTTTAATTTAGTTTTGACATTTGTTTTCTTCATTTGTTTGCAATATTGAATATTGCAATATATATCTTATAAAAATGTTTGTGATGGTTAAGTATTAAATAGAATGCCCATACATAGAAAGTATTTAGATTGAATAAAATGAATTTTACTTGAGAAGTCTCCAAAGAGCTATGCAGAGTCTTAATTTCAAGAATTCTCTTTCATTCTCTTAACTCATTATATTTGTATAGTGCTTCATGTCTTCAAAATGTTGTCAGATTTAATGACAATGATGTATTTCTTTTATTTTTTTTAAGAGAGATTTTTTGCTATAGGGTGAATGTACTCAGTGGATAGACACAGAAAGCAAGAAAACACCCCCGCCCCCCGGGAGGGGGTGACCATTCCACAATTCCTCCCCCTCCATTCTCCTCTCAGGATTTTGGGCATGCAAGGACAGCGCCCGGTGTGAGTTTCAAGCTGCCAGGTCTAGGACTCAAACTGCAATTAACTACATGGGAGTCCAGTGATGTAACCATTATAGCATCTGCTGGTCCCTAGAATTTATTCATTTTGTGTAAATGGAACTCTATACCCTTCGAACAGTAACACCCCACTGCCGCCTGCCCCATTGCTGCCTGCCCATCTGACAACCAAAATTCTACTCTCTGCTTCTATGAGTGTGACTATTTTGGATACTTTTTGGAATTGGAATCATGTATAACTTGACCTTCTGTGACTTATTTCTTAGTGTAGTATCTTTAAGATTCTTCCATGTTGTCACATACAGCAGGATTTTCTCCTCTTCCTTTTTTTTTTTTTTTTTAATTTGCCAGATGGTCCATGTGCTCACTTAAGAGAGAGACAGAGAGGCTGAATAATATTCTGTTGTATGGGAGCCAGCAGATGGCGTGGTAGTTAAAGTGCTGGATTCCCACATGGTTGACTGTAGTTCAATCCCAGACCCAGCAGCTTGAAACTCATACTGTGTGTGTGTGTGTGTGTGTGTGTGTGTGTGTGTGTGCATGTGCGTGCGCGTGCATGTCTAAAATCCTGAGGAGAATGGAGAAGAAGGGATTGTAATGATTCTATCCCCTCTGGAGGTGATTTCTCACTTTTTATCTCTCCATCTCTCCTCTCCTCTCCTCTTTTCCTCTGCCTTCTCCTCCCCTCCCCTCCTCCCTCTCTCTCTCCAGTGAGTGCACATGCTTTATAGCAAATATCTCTCTTAAAAAATTATATTCCATTGTCTGTATGTACCACATCTTTTTTTAATTAATTAATTAATTTATTTTCATTCATTCACTGTACATCATTACAGCATACAAAATGAGATTTTCCATCCAGAGTACACTGTATATTGTCTCAATCAAGCACATCAACAAACATTTATTGTCAGCAAATAATTTTCCATTTCTTGTTTTCTGTATGTTTTGCTTCCCCCCCATCCTTGATTCCCTATCTCTTACCCTCTGCCATCTCTCACTCTCCTCCCACACTGTCTCTGGTATTTATGTTTGCTTTCTATACTGTCCCCCCCCACCCCCACATTGTATTGAATTACTAAAGATCTTAATTAATCTAAATATTTTCATAGCAAACACAGCTGATATATACATTTCCATGGACACAAGTCCAGTATATACTGCATAATGACTTAATCAATCATGTTATAAAAAATTTTCCATTTCTAGTTCCTAGAATTATTTTTATCCCGCTTTCTCACCCTCTGTCCTTTCCCACCTTCTTTTCACACTATCTCTGGTGTCCACATCTTAATTATACATTCTTCCAGGACCAGCAATTGGCTTAATGCCTATGTCACTGGACTCCCCTGTAGTCAACCGTGGTTCAAGTCCCAGACCTGGTGGCTTAAACTCACGCCGGGCACGTGTGCATGCATGCCCAAGATCCCAGGAGGAGAATGGAGGAGAAGGGATTGCAGCGTGGCTATACCCTCAGGGGCAAGGGGTGATTTCTTGCTTTCTGTCTCTCTGTCTTTCTTGCAAGCGCACGTGCCCTATAGCAAAAACCTCTCCAGAATAAAATAAAATAATACATTCTTCCATCTTCCATCAGCAGACACTTGGGTTGCTTCCAGCCTTTGGCTATTGTAAATAGTGTTTCTATGAACATGAGAACACAGGTATCTCTTTGAGATTCCAATATTAGTGTTTTGGGGCAAATACCCCAAAGTGGGATTGTGGGATTTTATTGCAAATAGTTCTATATTAATTTTTTGAGGAATTTTCATACTTTTTTCTTAGCAGTTGCACTTTTTTGTTTTTCTTTTTATTCTTTTCCTTTCTTCTTTCATTCTCTTCCCTCCTTTATTCTTCCCTTTCTTCCCCTCTTTTTTCTCCTCCCCTCTCATTCTCTCTTTTCCTTTTTTCCTGTCTCTTATTTTCCCTCTCTCTATCTGTCCCTCTTTTTTTCTTTGATAAAAGTCAATTTAACAGTCCTGAGGTGCTATCTTGTGTTGGTGGTTGTTGTTGTTCATGGTAGAGTTTTTGCATGCACACATGAGAGAGATGAGCACTATCCGCACTCTGCTCACACTGCAGTCGTCTTCCTTCAGTCCTCTAGCCCACCACATCTCAGATGCTCCCACACCTACCTGGCACATTTTTTCCTACTAAGTAGGCTGGAGATTCGAACTGTAATCACTTTGGATTTCTCTTGAGAAACACTCTACTGCTATGTCATGGAACTGTAGCTCATTGTGGTTTTGATTTGTTTCCCTGGTATTAGTGATGTTGACAGTATTTTCACAAACCTGTTGGTCATTTGTATATTTTTACTGGAGAAATGTCTATTTGAGGTTTTTGCCTTTTCTTTCTTTCTTTCCTTTTTTTTTTTTTTTTCTTTTTCTATAGGGCATGTGCACTCACCAGAAAGAGGGGAAAAGTGAGAAATCACCTCCCAGGGGGGATAGCCATGCCACAATCCCTTCTCCTCTAGTCTCCTCTTGGGAATTTTGGGCATGCATGAATACGTGCCTGGGTAATTTTCAAACCCCTGGGTCTGGGACCATAACCACTTAGCTGTCCATGTGGGATCCAGTGCCTTAACCTCTACTCCACCTGCTGGCCCTTTTTTGCCTACTTTTAAGTCAGGTTTTTTGTTTCTTTGCTATTATGTTGTAGGAGTTCCTTATATATTTTGAATATTAACCCCTCATTAAATATATGGTTTACAACAGTTTCTTCCATTCTGTAGGTAGCCCTTTCATTCTATTAATTGTTTATTTTGCTGTCCAGGAGCTTTTTAGTTAGATACAGTCTCCTTTATGTGTATTTGCTTTATTGACTATGCTTGTGGTGTCATGCAAGAATACATTACAAGAAATTTCACTTATTTTAAGAGTGCTGGTCTGAAAGGGAGACTACATTGAGATTCTTTCCAAAAGTAAACCATTTTATAATACATTTTTAAAGCTACTGGGTCAGGGACAGCCTGTAACATGTTGAGTTATAGGGGCTGGATCCCACATGGTTGACTACATGGTTCATGTTTTGGACCTGGCAGCATGAAACACTCACTGGGCACATGTGCATGCATGCAAGCCCAAAATCCCAGAAGGAGAAATGGAGAAGGGATTGTGATTTCACCATTTCTCTTGGGGAATGCTTTCTCTCTTTCCTTTTTTCTCTTTCTGTCTCTCAAACAAACAAACATGCAAGCAAAAAATCCAAACCACTGGGTCACATAATATTCATCTTGGGACAAATACTATGAAAGGTATATAATTTGGGTATCAAACATGTAATTAGCCAAACGCAAGATGTCATTTATAAACATTCTGCTTCATTTAGCAAATGGAGCTGTTTGCATAGCAGAAATTAAACTTTTCAGACCAAAATTAATCACCTTTTACAGAATTAGTGTCCCCTTTTAACACTTAATATTATAAATTGTTTCAAAGTGTTAACTCTCATCAGTTTGACAACCCTGTATTGAGATTTCAGTGTATTCTTTTGGGTAGTTATTCCCATTAAATTAGAATTTATTCACAGAAATTATCGGGTCATCAGAAAATCATGATGTAGTTTTCCTATACAAAATTACATCAAGACTTTTCAAACAACCCAGAGTTTGTTTCACCATTTTCGTTTTTAACACAGAGAATTAACAAACTATACTTTTTATTCTTTACAAGTAGACTTTGAAATCATTATTACATTGTCTTTGAGGAGTTGTATCATTTAAAGTAATTTTTTCTCTGAATGTTGAATTATGAATTTTAAATAGAGAGTAGGATTTCATTACCAAATGTAATGTGAGGGTAAAAATTTTAAATCTTATAAAAATAATACATATTTGAGCTCCAAGAAGAGAAATTAACATTTTCTTTAAATGATTTGAGTTTTCTTTATAATGAAAAACAGTCAGATATTTATCTCCTTTAAAAATTAAATTTTGACTTCTAATGAACCTGATTGATAAGATAGGCATATTAGTTCTTCAAAAATAGATTTGGCCTCTTGATTAAGTTTCACCGAGTGCTGGTAGACATATTCCTTAAAGAATTAACTATACAGTAGTGTTCACTGAGACTCATGTGATCCCTTTAAATTAGAAAATACTGTCCTCGGGACCAGCAGTTAGCGTAATGGCTATGTCGCTGGACTCCCATGTAGTCGACTGCGGTTTGCGTCCGGACCCGGTGGCTTAAAACTCACACCGGGCACGTGTGCATGCGTGCCCAAGATCCCGAGAGGAGAATGGAGGAGAAGGGATTGCGGCGTGGCCATCCCCCCTGGGAGGAGATTTCTCACTTTCTGTGTCTCTGTCTCTCTCTGTCTGTCTGGCGAGCGCACGCGCCCTATAGCGAAAACCTCTCACAAAAAGAAAATACTGTCCTCAACTAAGTCGTAGACTTTTATCTCAGAGATGATCCCTTCTTCTTATTCTTCATCCCTTCAACACATTGTCTTCCCCTAATACTTAGATTTGTATTGAGACCATTGTAGGCTTTAATCTGACAAGTTGGCACATAGGAGGTTATGTGAACAATTAAATTCTGACATGTAGAGGCATATAATTGTCTTCTTTTGGGGTTTGAGAAACTACGAAAAATGATTCCAGAGATAGATTCTGTGTTCTTAGTTTTATTATTGACTTTGCTGCATTTCTCCCTTGTCTTCTAAGTTCTTTTATATCCCTGAAAATTGTAAGACAGTTAGCCAAAACTCCTTTAAATAAAACATTTGCAGACATTTAGTTTCTTTCTCATCATAGGAAGAGTCTTAAAAATGACAGTAAGTTAACTTGACTGGTACATAGCTACTTTGATGTCCTATTTCAAATGTTTATTGATTGAATTGTATTTTATTGCATAAGCCAATTTTCAAATACTTACCCTGCTGATTGATCAAAGATTACATTAGAATATATATGTATGTATGTATGTGTATATATTAATATGTGTGTGTATAAATGTGTATATATTTATGTACGTATGTATGTATTTGAGAGTAATAAAGTATTGTTTTTTGTTTTTGTTTTAGAGGTTTTTTGCTATAGGGCACCTGTGCCCACCAGAGAGACAGAAAGGGAGAAATCAACCCCTATGGGGATAGCCATGCCACAATCCCGTTTTCTCCATTCTCCCCTTGGGATTTTGGGCATGCATGTACATGTGCCGGGCATGAGTTTTAAGCCTCAAGGCTCAGAACTTAAACCATGGTCAACTATGTAGGAGTCCAGCAATGTAACCATTATATCATGTGATGGTCCTGAGTATTGATATTCAAGGATTGTTGAGCCTGTTCTCTTATAAAATTTCTTTTAATCTTAAATATAATTAATATCACTATTAGCACAAATAATATGCCTAAGTGACTCAATAACTTGTTCCCCTAAATTTGGATAGGGAATTAGGTAAATGATAGATGATGATGAGAAAGTTTTTGAAGTCTTTCTTTAATTTCCTCTTATTGGTTGGGTAACCATTAGAGGTCTAGAAACATATACCATATTCATGAATGGTTAGTAGCAGTATGGGGTTTTTGTTTGTTTGTTTCTAATGCTTATTGAGGGGCTAGCTGGTGCTGTGGTGGTCAAGGTGCTGAATTCCCACAGAGTTGATCACAATTCAAGTCCCAACTCAACACTGGAAAATCACTTCAGGCACATGTGCGTATATGCCCAATTTCCCAAGAGGACACTTGTGAAGGTAATTTAGTATGGCCATCCCCCCCAGGGGGTGATTTCTCACTTACTCTCTCTCTCTGTCTCTGTCTCTCTCCAGTGAGCACATGTGCCCAATGGGCCAAAAAAAAAAAAAAAAAAAAGCCTATATTACCAGAAATTGAACATAAAAAAATTCTTATTTTTTTAAATCTAAGATGTTCCTGCATCTACTTTTAAAGAAGGAACTCTATGAGTTGCTTTCAGATATGTTCTTATTTAGTTCTCATAAACATTTCTTGTTACAGATAATATTATCACCAGTTTACTGGTAAGGAAATAGTCTTAGAAAAGTTCAATAATTTGCTATATTGAGTAGTGCAGCTAAGACTCAGAGAAGCCCATGTACTATCTGTTGATGCTATCCTTGTAAAATATACAACTTGGGAATAGCTCTTCTATTTCCATGTTCTAAAATGAAAAAATTTAAATATTTGCATACAGACCTACAATTTATAGAATTAGTACTATGTATACTGGGGATTATTTTTATTTGAAAAACTCAGTGTGCTCAAAATGTAATCTGTCTTCTTCACTATAAAAATGACTCCTCAGGGCCAGCCACAATGGTGCCCAAGTAGCACCACCACTTGGGAGGCTGGAAGCTGCATGAATCATGGGTTCATTTCCAAGACTGACTTCACCAACCCTGCACACAGCTGTGTGCTCCTGTAACCCTCACTAATTGGGAGGTGGGCGGCAAGAGGATTACTACAGAGATACGCATTTTAAAATACATCTCTCTGTTTTTCCTCATCTCTCTCTTTCTGATAAAGAGTAAAACAAAAAGACTTTTTCAATTAATGGTACCAGTAATTTTACAGTCTATTTGCTTTAAAACTAAGGTTTTAACATTATAGTTATTCCTTCCTTCATCTCCTTCATTTCTCTGCCTCATGTCTCTGAGTTCACAGTTCAATAATTATGTAATATTTCTTACATACTTTCAATTTTTCCCATTTTTATTTTATTCTAGTAAGAATCACACTTCTTGAATCATTGCAGCTGGTCTTGCCAGTTTTACTCCTTTCTCTGCTCCAGGTCATTTCACAGCTTCTGCCAGATTAAGCTGTATAAAGCTGGCTCTGATGTTCAACTTCTCTGAAAGGATCATACTGTGTCCGTTGTCAAGCATTTATTGCTGTTCACGTTCTAATGCTAACTCATTTTTTCCCATTTCCCACCTTACCTCTTCATGCATCTTCTATTTCAAGATATGCCAAACTCTTTGAGGAATGTCCTCACCTCTTTCCTCTCTTTGATAATTTCTAACCATTCTTTAGTAGCTAATTAAAACACGACTTCTTCCTTTCTTGGTATAGATTCCCACTAGAAGTAATCTACCTTCCCCTGAACTCCATGGAACTTAATTCCTATCTCTCTTGAGGTCCTTATTGCTTCCTACTATTTGTTTTGTTTTAATGTTTTATGTGTCTCCTTATTATTAGCTTAAAGAGAACAAAAATTGAGTCTTGTTTCCAAAGTGCCTCTTCTAAGACTTTGCATATTAAAGACTTTCATTTAATATTAAATATTTGCTGATTGCTTAGATAAATAAATCCTAAAGACAGATAAATGATGCTATATTTTGTTATGCATAGGATGAAGGTGACCAAGCAGCAAGTGTTGAAGAACTAGAAAAACAGATTGAAAAACTGAGTAAAGTAAGTTAATGTTTATATTTTAGTTGCAGTGTTTTAAAATTCTGCACTATATGGGATTTATCTTTCTGACTGTTCAGTAGGAAAAAAGCTTTTTACAAGTAATTAAAATAAGGAACTCTGAAAATTAAATTAAACCAAAATTAAACCAAAAATGTTTCATACCTAGATTAAATGAAAGCCTGCCTCTTAAGACATGATACTGAACTTAATCAGAGCCTATGAAGAAAAAGTTCTATATTCTTCAGCTCTTCATGTAACTACAAAGTATCCTGAAGGCATGGTTTATTTCTTAGAATTAGTTACTCAAAACAGTTTAATTTTATGATAATAGTTTCAGCATCTATATTTTGTTCTACATCTGTATATTTGTAGATTTTATTTGTATTGGATTTATAAACTATACATATTTATGTACTTCTTATTAAAAATTAAATTTCAGTACCATTATCAAAATTTAATATTAACTTTATAAGAAAAATTTTTGTGGAAAAAAAAAAAAAAGAAAAACTTTTTGTGAGTTTTTAAAAGTATTATGAGGTCCAGCCACATTGACACAGATGGTCGGGACCATGTGGAATGGCTTAGGGTGCATCCTGGCTCTACTTGAACATAGCTGATGCACCCATGATCCTGACTGGTTGCAGTACTGGGGAGAGGATGACAGCATGAAGATCCTGTTAGGGGTGTCTAGCTCTCTGTCATGAAGGAAGTAAAATTTTTAAAAAAGAGTATTATATAGAGGAGAAGGGATTGCAGCATGGCCATCCTCCTGGGGGGTGATTCTCACTTTTCCTCTCACTGAAATAAATAAACTTTTTAAAAGAGAGTTTTATATAGAGGAGAAGGGATTGCGGTATGGCCATCCTCCTGAGGAGTGATTCTCACTTTCTTTCTCACTGAAATAAATGAACTTTTTAAAAAATAATATTATATAGAGGAGAAGGGATTGCAGTGTGGCCATCCTCCTGAGGAGTGATTCTCACTTTCCTTCTCACTCTTATTGTCTCTCTCCTTTCCAGCAAGTACATGCTCCCTAAACCAAAAATCTCTTAAAAAAAAAAAAAAGTATTATAAGATGTCTGTATATCCTATCAGTGTTAGACTTCATCACAGACCTATCCCAGAATTTGGTTATGTGTTGCCTAGCTTTGCAGCAGAGTATAAAAATAGGAAAATACAGGTTTAGTCAATTACAGTTCTAAGAATTACTTGTATACTGTAAGAAATAAAGCTGAGTGGACCAGCAGTTAGTGTAACGGCTATGTCGTTGGACTCCCCCGTAGTTGACCACGGTTCGAGTCCCGGACCCGGTGGCTTAAACTCACACCGGGTGCGTGTGCGTGCGTGCCCAAGATCCCAAGAGGAGAATGGAGGAGAGGGGATTACAGTGTGGCCATCACCCCTGGGGGGTGATTTCTCACTTTCTGTCTCTCTGTCTCTCTCTCTCTGGTGAGCACACACACCCTATAGCAAAAACCTCTCAAAAAAAAAAAAAAAGAAAAGAAAGAAAACTGAGCAGGTTTGCTTTGGTTCAGTAAAATATTTGATCAAGTTTATTATCAAGTATTATTAATTATCAAACATAAATTATGTTTTACTATAAAGTATTTTATCAGATACTTTTAATCCATGGTAACAAAAATATTGCAATTATCTTTAAAATAATTTAAATCTTCATAAATGTTACTGAACTTGAAGTCAGACATGTAATATTTAGTCCTTTGTTGTCTATTCCCAATAGTGAAATTTGTCTGCTCTAAGGACATAATAAGTATAAAGTTGTTTACATATTAATTTTTGAGCACTCAGTATCAAAATTAATTTAATTTCATATACCATTAATTATATATACCATTTTTTAACAGCAACAGAGTCAGTACAGAAGGAAGCTCTTTGATGCTTCTCACTCACTACGTTCGATGATGTTCGGCCAGGATCGTTACAGACGCCGGTACTGGATTCTCCCTCAGTGCGGGGGAGTTTTTGTAGAAGGCATGGAGAGTGGTGAAGGTAGGAACTATTATTCTGTTACAAAATATTTAACAAAATATTGTATTTTTAAAAACTTGATTACTTCAGTATATTTTGTACTTTCAAAATCAAATCTGCCAAGATCCCGAGAGAAGAATGGAGGAGAAGGGATTGCAGCGTGGCCATCCCCCTTGGGGGGGTGATTTCTTGCTTTCTGTCTCTATGTCTCTCTTTCTGTCTGTCTGGCGAGCGCACGCGCCCTATAGCGAAAACCTCTCAAAAAAAATAAATAAATAAAATCTGCAAGGGGCCAGCAAGCGGCATGGTGATTAAGGTGGCCAGACTCCCACATGACTGACCATGGTTCAAGTCCCAGACCTAGCAGCTTTCTTTCTCACTTTTCTTCTCTCTGCCCCCTTGCTGGCCTATTCTGTATTTAAAGCTTAGGAAGTCCAATAAAATTGTATGGGCTGTCTGCAAAAAAAAAAAAACCTGGGGTAAAGAGAATCAAATTCACCTTTTGTGTGGGTGTCATTAGTAGGCAAGAAGCATCCAAACTTCTATTCATCTGTTGAAATGCGAACATTACAGTCCTCTGAGCAACTGGTTGAAATGAAAACAAAAAGAAAGAGAGAGAAATACTGAAGTATAAAAACCCAGGTCCTGAGTCTGACCAGGAGCAGGAGTAGAAAGCAAACCACAACGAGCCCTGAGCAGCTACAGGGCCACCGCAGACCTTGTTGCCATCACACCGCAGGAGGAGCTGGCCCTAGTCACCACCACTGTAACCATGCAGCGAGTCCAGGCCCAGCAGAGACCTAGCAGTTGCCCACCACCCCCGCCCTTAGTGCTGGCAACACTCAGCCACACACCACCAGCAGGACTGTCTGCGGGAACGGACAAGAAGGTCATTGCAAGGAAGGTTTTGGGAACAGTAAGATGGTTCAGTGTAAGAAACAGGTATGATTTCATCAACAGGAGTGATACCAAGGAAGATATATTTGTACAGCAGACTGCCACACAGAATAACCCCAGGAAGTACCTCTACAGTGAAGGTGATGAGACAGTGGAGTTTGATGTTGTCCAAAGAGGAACAGTGTGGAGACAGCAAATGTTATAGGTCCAGGTGGAGTTCCAGTTCAAGGCAGTGAATATGCAGCAGACCTAACCATGAGTCGGTGGGGCCCTCTGGGCAGTTACCTGCAAAATAACCACAATAGTGAGAGGGAAAAGGATCTGGGGATCAGAACACTCCTGAAAGCCAGGCCCAGCAACACAGGCCCTACTGCAGGTGAAGGTTCCCCTCTTACTACATGCGGAAACCCTGTGGGCGATGACCACAGTATCCCAGCCCTCCTGTGCTGGGAGAAGTGATGGAGGGTGCTGACTGGGTGCAGGAGACCGAGCTGGCTTAGTGAGGCAGAATATGTATCGGCATTATAGACTGGTTTCTCAGGGGCCCTCCTCATCAAAGACAGCCCAGAGGACCGCAATGAAGAAGATAAGGAAAATCAAGCTGAGACCCAAGGTCAGCAGCCACCTTCAGTTACCATAGCAGACATCCAGAGACCCCTAAACCTAAAGATGGCAATGAGACTAAAGCAGCTGATATGCCAGTTGAGGATTCATCGGCTCCCAAGGCTGAGCTGGACAGGCTAAGTAGATGCCAGCTTACCATCTCTATCATCATTCGGTTTAGTCATCCAGCAAGAAGTGAATACAGAATTCCAGCAATAAGAAATGAACAAAAGATTGGAGCTGAGGACCTTAAGTGCTTGCCTTTTGCTGGTTGACCAGATAACTAGAACTATCTGTATTATATATGCAGCATAGAGTTATTATTTTTACCTAAAGATGTCTCTTTTCAGTAATGACAAACTTTTTTTTTAAGCCTGGTTTTTCTTAATACCCTTTTAAAGGTTTATAAATGTCTTCATATCTTGTCAAGTGAGATTTTTAGGAACTTCATTTTTAATTTGTAATAAAAGGTTACAATTGATAATTTCAAAAAAGTCAACAAAGTGCAAGTACCTATTAACAAAGGTCTTAAATGATTTTTTGAAAAAGGAAGAAAAACACAAAAAACAAGCCAGAAAAACTCAGAACCCAGCATACCAAGTTGGTTCTTCCTTTATACCAGGAAACTTCACCAAAGTAGGGAGATCTTTATGAGATTGAACCTGTGTTCAAAGTATAAACTGGAGGATGCCCAGACAAAACACTTTTTATAAGTTTGGTTTGTTTCCTTATGAGTGAGATTGAGTTTTTGAAAGGATTAACCATGTCAGGATTCTTCTGCCCCTGCATCCCAGCTAGTTGAAACTATAGGCAAGTAACACTGCACCCAACATGTTTTAGATTGGGTTAGGAACTGGACCTGCGGACCCAATGAGGTCTCAGCCTTCGGATAGCAGTCTTAACACTGTGTTTGGCTGAACCCAGACAATCTTACAGAGGTCATTGTTGAAGAAATTATTGCAGCTATCTTTGAGAATGCTGAAATAGAATTCTGTGCTTCCAGAAACAGACAGGTGGACCAATGGAATAGAATAGAGACCCCAGAAGTAACCCCCAAAGCTTACAACCAACTGATTTTTTTTTTTTTTGGAGAGGTTTTTGCTATAGGGCACGTGCGCTCGCCAGACAGACAGAGAGACAGAGAGATAGAAAGCGAGAAATCCCCATCTTTCACCATTACCAAAAATTGACTCAAAATGGATCAAAGATCTGAACCTAAGACCTCAAACAATAAACCTACTGGTGGAAAATGCTGGGGAAACTCTGGGAGACATTGGAGTAGGCAAAGACTTCTTAAATAAGACTCTCAAAGCACAGGCAATAATCCCTAAAATAGACAAGTGGGACGATATCAGACTAAGAAGTTTCTGCACAGCAAAGGACACAGTAACAAGCATGAATTGACAACCCTCAGAGTGGGAGAATATTTTTGTTAAATATGCCTCAGACAAGGGACTGATAACAAGAATACACAGGGAACTCAAGTGCAGTCCCACTTCTGGGTATTTACTCAAAGGACAGGAGAATGCTCAGTCGGAAAAGTGCTTGCACATTAATGTTTATTGCAGCATTATTCACAATTGCCAAGACATGGAACCAACCCAAATGTCCACAAACAGATGAATGGATTGAAAAAGTGTGGCACATACACTCTATGGAATACCACTCAACCATAAAAAAAAAAAAGACCCTAGCATTTAATAGAAAGTAATCAGATATGTAGGATCTATTGCTGAGTGAAGTAAGCCAAGATATGAAAGAAAGATATTATATGTATCCACTTAATATATACCAATTATCTGCACTCTGTGGTAGAGATCGAAATATTGAAGGACCATAAAAGCAGTGAAAATAGTAAATGAAGATAAGACAGTGTGGAATGGGGTGGGAGAAGAGAGGAGTATAGAGAAAGATAGCAACAGAATAAATAGGCATGATAATAGTAGGCCACAGATACCGTTTATTACCTGTTGATGACGATGTGTATAGTATTCTCAACTGGATTGGTCTGACAAGTATTTCATGTTAGGTAAAGTCTTTTTACAAGCAAAATGAGAAGTAGTGATTGACTGTTTAAAAAAATATTTGGAATAATAATGATGATAATGATGATTGGGAAAAATAATAAAAAGCTATTGAATGATGAAATGGAGATTTTAATGTCTCTGTATTGACTGATATGCATGGTATTCCTTCTGGAAAAAGAAATGTAATATACTGTAAAATTATATGTGATTAAATGTAATATAAACAAGATTATGATAATAAATTTTGTTAATTAAAAATAAAAAAAAAAACGAATTCTGTGCTTCCATCTGATAAGAGCAAGCATGGAATAGCTTCCCACTACCATACTGGCAAGCCTATTGTTGAATGGCAGCAGTTGTGATAAGAGTGTCATCGTGTGATTAAATCATATCTAGAAACCCTGTTTTGTGACAAATGTATCTCGGTCTTAATAGCATGTACATATTGTCTACACATTCAAAAGGTTCAGCAACCCCAAAATCAGAAAAGTTGCATACCATTCATCAGCTAGAGGAATCAAGCACATGTCATCAGGGTCTTTGTCTGAAACTAACACACATAGTTACAGTGCCAAGCAGGGTTAGCCAAGAAGGACTGTTAAATTGTGAAATGGTATTGTTCAATATCCCTGCCTGAATCCATTCTTATGTAATAAATACAATGTCAGGCCAGCCCCATAGAACAGTGGTTAGGGGAGCCAAATCCCATATAGCTGGCCCAAATTGGAATCTTGACCCGAGCAGCTTGAAAACATGTCAGGCATGTGTGTGTGTGTGCTCAAAATCCTGACAGGAAGGAGAAATGGAAGAAAAAGGGTTGGGTGTGACCATGCCCCAACCCATTGGAGAGTGTCTCTCTCTCTCACTTCCTCAGGCAAGTGCACACCAATTGACAATTAAAAAGTAAATAAAATAAATACAGTCTCTTTCTTATATTTACATTGATTCCATGTCAGCTATTGTAAATAATACTGCAACACACATGGATGTACCAATGTTTCTCTTGGAGGCTGACTTCCTGTCCCTTGGGTATATACCCAATAGTGAGATTACTGGGTGAAAGGTAATTATAATTTTAGATTTTTATGAAATTTTTGAACTGTTTTTCACAGTGGCTACACTGGTTAACATTCACACCAATAGTACATTAGTGGCTTTTTGTTTTTGTTTGGTTGTTTTTTTTTTTGCTATAGGGCATGTGTGCTCGCCAGACAGACAGAGAGAGACAGAGAGACAAAAAGCGAGAACTCACCCCCCAGGAGGGATGGCCACGCCACAATCCCTTCTCCTCTCGGGATCTTGGGCACGCACGCACACGCGCCCGGCATGAGTTTTAAGCCACCGGGTCCGGGATGCAAACCGCAGTTGACTACATGGGAGTCCAGCGACATAGCCATTACGTTAACTGCTGGTCCCTACATTAATGTTTTTTAATATTTGACAACAGTTTTTTATTTTTGTTTTCAGAATAAATCCAATACTTACTAGCTAATAACTTTGATAAGGTTAAGAGAATTTTTTAGCACAGGTATGTGAGAGAATATTTGTGACTATTTTCATATGTGTGTTACTGGAGGTGATGAAGTAGGATGGTCTTGGCAGAAGTGCTTAAAACTCATATGAGGTGAAGATTTTCTTCCGACTGATTTAAAGACCTTCTCTCTCATTTGAGCATTTTGATTATGATGTATCTTGGTGTAGTTATCTTCATGCTTCTTTGTTTGGAGTTTGTTGAGTTTTTTGGATCTGTACGTTTATAGTTTTTGTCAAATCTGAAAATTTTTCAGCCATTACATTTTGAAACTTAATGTTCTTCTCTGCTAATTCTACTATTAATATCTTGTCAGTTCTAGGTCAGTTTTGGTCGATTGAGTTTTCTAATTATGTGTCATATTTTTGTGCTTCTGGATTTTATTACGTTGCCTATGTAAAAATGTATCCTGGCTTTCCCGATGACCCAGTAGTTAGATGCCAGACAATATTTTTAAATTTCTGTATATACTCTCAAACTTTGTTAAACTGAGCCACAGCTGAGTTAGTTGGAAAAAGTCTGAACCTTTCAGATGAGCATTTAAAATTGCTTAGCCAGAACCAGAACAGTTCTCACTCTAGGACTAATTTCTCCTTTACTGAAGCGAGATCCATTAGGATCTTGAGGTTTCCCAGCCTGTCAGTGCAAACAGGCACTCTTCTCAGCCTCTGTGAGCATCTGGCAGTCAACTCTCATCTTTTCATGTGTTTGTTTTTTCCTGTGGCCTCAGGGGGCTCTCAGGTTCTTCACATATCATTATTCGGCTAAATACTCAAGGGGTTCCTGTGTAGATCTCTGGAGTCCTCTCTCTGTGCAGCTCTCCTTTCCAGAATGTTCTCCTGAGTACTCCATCCAGATCGGTCTCCCTAGACCCACAGTTCTATCTCCTCATTTCAGGGAGTCTGCCAGGCTGCACCTGGATTCCTGCCGCCTGTGCTGTAGCCTAAAAATTATACCAGGGCCATCAGCTGGGGCAGCATAAGTCTCACTGAGTTCATTTTCTGTCTTTGATACCTGATGTCAGTTTCTTGTGAACTTTTGTTTCATGTATATTGTCTGTTTTTGGTTGTTTTCATAAAAAGAGGGTAGATCTAGTCCCTATATTTTTTCATTTAAAAAAATATATATTTAATTCTATTTATTTGTTATTTTAATTTGACCAGAGAGGGACAGAATGAGAGAGAGAGAGAGAGAGAAAGAGGAAAAGTGAAAAAGCAAGCTGCTAGTTCCAGGACTTGAACTGTGGTCAACCATGGGAAGTCCAGCACCCTTAACCACCACATCACTTGCCGGTCCCAGTTCCTATTATTATATACTGGTCAGAAGTATAAGTCTGATATATAGGATTTGGTTTTTTTAGAGGTTTTTGCCTTAGAGCGCGTGTGCTCACCTGAGAGCAAGTGAGAGACAGAGACCATGAGAGGGAAAGTGAGAAATCACTGCCCACCCCCCAGGGCGGGGGATAGCCACCATACCACAGTCTCTTCTCCTCCTAGGATCTTGGACATGCATGCACAAGTGCCCAGCGTGAGTTTCAAACTACTGGGTCTGAGACTCGAACCTCCATCAGCCACATGGGAGTCCAGCAATGTAAACATTATGCCATCTACTGGCCTCTTGATATATAGGACTTTAATTTTAATTAGAAACTAATTTCAAGGGACTAGAAGATGGCATATGGTTATGTCGCTGGACTCCCATGTAGTCGACCATGGTTCGAATCCTAGAACTGGCGGCTTCGTATTCAAGCCTGGCATATGTGTATGCATTCCCAAAATTCTGAGAGGAGAATGGAGGAGAAGGGATCGGAGTGTGGCCACCCCCCCCTGGTGGGGGGGGGGGTGATTTCTTGCTTTTTTTCTCTCTCTCTCCCCGGCAAGGACACATGCCCTGTAGAAAAAAAAAAATCTCTTAAAAAAAGAAAGAAACAAACAAATTTCAAGGGATGTGAAAGCTATTTCAAATATTAATATAGTTCTGGTTGGGTAAATTATGATGTACTCAAATAATAAAGCATGCAGCTGAAGAACAGTTATGTTTTGCCTTGGATAGCTTTCTAATGAATATTATCAGTGAAAATATTAAATTTACTCTTTTATTTCATCATTTAAGAAATATTTACTGAGCCTATGTATTACAACAGCCACCATGTTAGAAATTTGGGATCCAATAATAAGATAGCCATTGTTTTGCCATTAAGGTAGAGCTTATTAATTCAGATTCCACTGTGTAGATGGGGAGGGGAATAGAAAATAAACAGATTATTGTGTTTCATGGTAGATCCTATAATGGAAATATAGAGAATGATATTCTAAGATGAATGGAAGGGGCCCCTATTAAAGTAATCGGAGAATACGTCTGTGAGGAAACGATAGTTCATCTGAGACATAAACAAAAAGGAACTGGTCAACAAAGTAGTATGTCAGGCAGAGGGAACAACAAGTGCAAAAGCTCTGAGGACAGAAAGAACTTAGCATGTTCAAGAAATTGAAAAAAGCAAGAAATGAGAACCAGGGTTACCAAGGACAAGAGTACAGAGATTATAGAGGTTTTCAGGAACCAGATCATGCAGTGTTGTAGACCTTAGTTAGGAGTTTGGATTACATTCTAATTTGTAGAAAAATGAATAGTAGTATTTCATTTGTGTATTAGTAAAAAATGATAGTCATCGATAATATACAGAAGATTTCTGGGAGGATATATAGACAAATACAGGCACTCCCGAAGAGTAGGAATGGAAACTGAGAGAGTTTTAGATACCCTTTTACTTCTGAATATTTTACCTTGACTGTCCAGTACTTTTCAAGTTGACTAAAGTAGCATGTACATATATGTGTATATATATATATATATGTAGTTTTTGAGAGATTTTTGCTATAGGGCGCGTGTGCTCGCCAGAAAGACAGACAGAGAGACAGAAAGCCAGAAATCACCTCCCAGGGGGGATGGGCACGTTGCAGTCCCTCTCCTCCAGTATCCTCTCGGGATTTTGGGTATGCATGCACACGCACCCGGTGTGAGTTTAAGCCACCGGTTCCAGGACTCAAACCATGGTCAACTACATGGGAGTCCAGTGACATAGCCATTACACCAACTGCTGGTCCCCAGATTTATATTTTCAAAAGAGTCTTTAAAATTATTTTTTAAACAGTGGAAAGAAAGATGAACCAGAAGTTTGCAAAGAAAAAATACCAATAAACCTATGAAAAGATATTTAGCCTTACTAGTCATCAGAATAATAAAATTGAGATTTTTCAATGATGACAATGACAAAAAAGACTGACAGTATCCAGTTTCACTGTAGGCAAACAGATGCTATTATGTAGTTCTGGTATGCGTGTATATTGATCCTGGCATATGTTTTAGAGGGCAGTTTGACAATATATTTCAGAAATCCTGTAAATGACGTATCATAGGACTCAGTAAATTTTTTCTAGAAAATTATCCCAAGGAAGTAAATCAGAAAAAAAAAAAGAAGCAGATACAAATTTATCATTTATAATAGTGAATATTTGGGACCTATTAATATCCAATAGTAGAAGATTATTTAAATTACAAAATCATTGAATACTTGATAGCCATTATATTTTATTATGTAGTTATATATTTATTGGCACTTTGAGTTCTTTAGAGAGTACTATTTAGTAAGTTAAACTACTATGTTTATAATAAGATTTCTACTTTTCAAAAATATGTGGGTTTAGTATATATGTATTACAGGGAAAATTCCCGGAGGGGTTATATAAAAATGTGAATATTCCTCTTGGCTCCTGTCTACCCACTGGGTGTGGGGAGGTTCCTTTGACCCAGATGGAGCCCACGTGCTTTCTTCTGCTCCTTGGTGCCTCTCTGGTGTGCACAGACTGTGCAAGGGAACTGTACGAAGGACTCAGGGATACCCTGGACACTGAGAAATGGACTCAGTGGCCTTTGAAGATGTGGTTGTTAATGAACTTCACCATGAAGGAGTGAGCTTTGCTGGATCCTTCAGAGAAGAAATTCTATAGAGACGTGATGTGGAAAACCATCAAGAATCTGGACTTATTTAAATTATGTACAACAGCGGCTATAGGAAAAAAAAGAAGGAAGTCCACGTGGAGAACCCATCAGTCATATTACAGACAACCTCCTGGATGAGCAAGCAGCACCTCCTGGACTTGAACCATGAAAAAGTAAAGTGTGTGGAGAAGACTTCATTCATTCATCTCTAAGGAGGCCTATCAGAGCTCAGTGAGGGCAGAAACTGTAAAACTCTAAGGAATACATAAAGAAGTCACATAAACATCAGCAAAATGAAAACCTTCATTTCTAGCAAAACTGTGGGAAGAGCCATGACACTGCAAAGTGGAGTTGGACCTTATAAATGCAAGATATGTTGTAAAAGTTTTGATCATCATGATTTATTTCAATTCCATGCACAACACACTGGAGAGAAAACCTGAGTGTGCCCCATGAGGGAAAGGCTTTACTTCACCCAGTTCTATTAGACCATGAAAGAGCTCACACAGGACAGAAATTGTATGAGTGTAATAATATATGTGGGAGAGCCTTTGGTGGTCTGCCTTCTGATAGAAAGCATGAAAATACTAACATTTGAAATTTAAAAAAATGTTAATAGTAAATTTTGCTGTGTGGTAGAGCTCTTAATATTTGTATATACTTTTAATACTTATATATTTTAATTTTTAATGATATGTGTTGATTTCCCAATGAGTGAAAAATATGTAAGAAATATAGAGGGAATATGGAGACTATTAGGTAATCTAGAAAAGTTTAAGTATTTATGTATATAATTTGGTAAATAGTAATAAAATTTAATTATAGCGTAGTTTGATCTATAGTAACTGATCATCATAATATGTTTTTTATTTTGTAGGACTAGAAGAAATTGCAAAAGAGAGAGAAAAACTAAAAAAGGCAGAAAGTGTCCAGATCAAAGAAGAAACCTTTGAGACTTCTGGGGACTCTTTAAATTGTTCAAATACAGATCATTGTGAGCAAAAGGAAGATCTTAAAGAAAAAGATAACACAAATCTGTTTCTTCAGAAACCTGGTTCTTTCTCCAAATTAAGCAAGCTTTTGGAAGTAGCTAAGATGCCTCCTGAGTCAGATGCTATGACTCCCAAACCAAATGTTAGTGCAAATGGGTGCACATTGTCTTATCAAACCAGTGGGAAACAGTCACTGGGCAGCGTCCAACCAACATCAACCCAAAGCAGCATGGAAAAAGCAGATTCTAGTAATCTGTTTAATACCGGTTCCAGTGGTCCAGGGAAGTTCTACAGTCCTCTGCCCAATGACCAGTTGTTAAAAACACTGACTGAAAAGAACAGACAGTGGTTTAGCCTTTTACCAAGAACGCCTTGTGATGACACTTCACTTACCCATGCCGATTTGTCAAGTGCTTCTGCCGTGACTCCTCCGTCTCAGCCACCATCTAAGTCACCTTCACCTGCTCCAGCTCCTCTTCTTGCATCATCTTCTGCTCAGAACCCTGTTGGTCTAAATCCATTTGCTTTATCACCTCTTCAGGTCAGTACTGTTAACCGTAACTCACTTTTATTTTGCTTTATTTAATATTTGACTTCCTGAAGAAGGATCAGACAGAAACAGTATCATTGCAATAGTTGAAAAATGAAACAGGTCAGACTTTCTGTCACCACGTTTCATTAGAACTACGGACTTTTAGCCTATGTCTAAGTCACCTTCAATGACTTTAACTTAATCCTGGTGCAGTGTCTCTAGGAGGAAAATTTCTTTGGAACATGGAGTTTGCCATTGTTATTGCTAAGGGGTTTTTTCCTCTAATTGTGAGGAGTGAAAGAATTCTTTTTTCATAATTTGAAGAACAATTTCAGATTCCAAAGTTTTTCCTAACTTCTTAGATTAATCTGCTTTCAAATGTTTTGTCTTCGTAGATGAAAAGTGGAGTATCTATGATGGGACTACAGTTTTGTGGGTGGCCCACTGGTGTGCTTACTCCCAATATTCCATTTACATCACCTTTACCTAGTCTGGGATCAGGGTTAGGATTATCAGAAGGAAATGGTAATTCGTTCCTGACTTCCAACGTTTCAAGTAAAAGTGAATCTCCAGTACCACAGAATGAAAAGGTCTCTTCAGCTCAACCTGCAGCTGTTGAAGTAGCAAAGCCAGTAGATTTTCCTAGTCCAAAACCTATTCCAGAAGGTAGGTACATTAAGATGGTTTACAGCCACTTTTTTTTTTAATGGATTCCAACATTACAAGCGAATCTTTGCTAGTTCATATCAATAAATTTTTGATTTGTATTTTACCATATTTTCTATTTAAAATATTTGTAAAAGATCTATATATTTATCTTAACTTAGAAATGCAATTTGGTTGGTGGAGAATTATTGACCCAGAGGATTTAAAAGCTTTGCTCAAAGTGCTACATCTCAGAGGAATAAGAGAAAAGGCATTGCAAAAACAAATTCAGAAACACTTGGATTATATTACCCAAGCCTGCATCAAGAATAAAGATGGTATGTACCTGAAAGACAGCTGAGCTAATCTGTAGGTTAGTTAAGAGAATTAACTTTTTCATCTTAAAATACGTTTTAGTATGAGGGGGCTTCAAAAAGCTCATGGAAAATGGAATTAAAGTATGAGTATATTTTGATGCAGTGAGTTTTGATATCCACGAATAGTTTTTTTTTTTCATCATATGCATTTTTTTGTGAAATTTTCAGACTCATGTTTTATCACTTTTAATTTGCTCAAGAAACAGTAACTATTTCCATTCTTAAATTGCTATTACTTTCTTACACTGTTTTATACCTGCAAACATGTTCCTTTGTGTTTTTTAGAGTACACTTTTACAGGTAAACTGCCTGCATGTGCACAAGTGCACAGGTGCATTTGTATACATTAAGTTAGGCAAATGTGGTACCCCTAGAATGTTATTCACTCTCTAGAAGAAATTGCCAAGAGTAAACGCTTCATAGAGTACATTTTAAATTTAATTTCTTTTCAAATGTAGTTGCTATTATTGAATTAAATGAAAATGAAGAAAACCAGGTAACTCGAGATTAGTGGAGAACTGGTCAGTAGAAGAACAAGCTATGGAGATGGATGTGAGCATCCTTCAACAGGTAGAAGATCTAGAAAGGAGAGTCGCATCAGCAAGTTTGCAAGTAAAGGTAAAGTTGACTTAGAATAAAATGCATTTAGGATAATAAAATGGAACTAATATTTATGGCTAAATTACGCCAGTTACTAGTCTCAATGTGTTTACCTCATTTAATTCTCAAAATGGTCCTGAATTATTTTCCTGCATCTTACAGGCAAGAAACCAGGTTCAAAGTAAATAACCTGGCAGTGGTCATATAGTAAGTGGCTAAATGTTGACTCAAACCAAGTGACTCCCGAACCCATGTTCTTTTTACTAAATCTTGCTGCCTCCTGTTTACAAATATCATTTCTAGTATTTAGTATTTTACCACAAGCAGAATTTCACAATTTTCTCCATTATAATTTTAATGACTCTAGTACAGATTCTACCAAACTCCCACTGCAGTGTTTTGTATAACACCAGGAACTCCCTATACAAACCAAATTTGATGTCAGATGTTTCCTCTCTATAGTTTAAATTTGGAGAACAATATAGGTATATCCACATACATATTATGACACACAGACATAGAGTGTATGTCCACTTTTTGTTTGTTTGTTTGTTTGTTTGTTTGTTTGTTTAATCTATCTGGCATTACCATGTCACAGGCAGGGATCAAAACTGGTGTCCACTGGACAGGCTACAAGAAAGCTTTACCTTTGTGGAAGAATTTTTTATTTTATACAAAGCAGTGAAAGGTCTTCTCAGTTTCTAATAAGGTGCTATTTCTGAGTGGGTAGGTGATGAAGGAAGACGCCTGCAGAGGCTTAGAAAATTTAGTATCCTTGTAATTTGATTTGATTTTTCACATTTATTAAACAGGAGAAACTTATGGCATAATCTTATCCTGTACAATAATTAAAATTTTGCTCCTTAATTAGTATAATATAAGCATTTGGGTACTTGAGAATCTTCAAAATAATCTAGTTTTCCAGAGGCAATAAAATATCCTTTTCCTGCTACAGTTACCAATATTGGGAAGCAAAACTATCATTCAGTGAAACTATTGTGCTAGCAAACTATATCCCTCTTTTTCCTGGTACTAGAATACAGTATAAAATGCTTCCTTTATCTGGCATCTTCAACAAGTGAACTCTACATAAGTTCATTTTCTGGAGAAATGAAAATTATTCCATTTAGTGCCATAATTTTTAAAAATGTTTGTTGGATCTCTTATGTTATGCCTTTAGCTGCCTTCTTAAGTTGAGAATAATGAGTGTAATTTAAACTGTCTTGATGACACAGGATCATCAGCATGAAGACCAATTATTAGACAGTGATTCCCTCAGGAAATGTGAAGAGGTTTGCCATACACTAAATGATCCAAATGTGCTTTGCTTTTTAAATGTTCAATCTGTTTTCTGCAGCCTTTCTGTGGTCAGTCGTTGCTACTTGCTGGTTTAAATTAGTTGGTTCTTCTACCCTTATTTTCCTCCAACTTTTTTCCATCTAGTTGCCAATTTCAGTTGACTGTCACTTGGAAAAGCATGTCATCATGCTTTTTAAATTATGTGTAAAGCCAGAGTGCTGGCCTGAAACATTTTCCTGGTAACATAGGCAGATTGTGGTGCACTGCCCTTATCACATTGCTGGTTGCTTAATCATTCTTGGCTGTGTCCTCAGTTGCTAAGTGGAATACGCTTTTAAAGCAGGATGTTTTAACATCATGATAATGTATTACTTAGTTATTCTGTATTATTCTGAAAATTAAATTATAATTATATTAGTTTTGAAGAGTCTCAGAACAAAAGTGATTTTAAAAAAGTGATGAAAATAGCCATAGAACATTATTATAATATCTATAGAGGATTTAATTATGTTTTTCCTTAAAAAAGCCTGGGGAACAACTATTGTAAAGATTCATTAGCTAGGTGGCCCAGGTCTATTTGGGTATATTTATTTCTATTTTAATATTGCTAATAATTTAGAAGTTTTTTTTCACAGTGGGAAAATCTGTGAGTTCCTAGTCCAAGATCTGTTGTTGAAAGTATACAAAATGTCTAGTTACTTTTTTCCATTTCCTCTAGACAGCCTCTGTGTCTCCTTTCAAGTTTTCTTTTTTACAAGTTAATTGATCTCTCTGACCATTTGTCCTGTAAAATGGTTCCCAGGTCCGTGATTCTCTTCTGAGTGCCCTTCATAAAATATGGCACCTGTACTTTCCTTAATCTGGGGCTGTACCATTGCTGTGTGAATTTGTACCAGTTTTTTAGCAGCTTTAATGGGTATGCAGTATAAGAATATCTGGTCCTGTCAGAGTACTTTTAAGTGAGTTCTGTCACATGTTGTATCTCTCTGATAAGTTGCTTTAACATCAAAACTAAGATTTGTCTTTCTAATTTTTAAAAAAAATTTATGTGTGTGCAGTTTTCAGCATATAGAACTACATTTATCCTAGTCCCTTCATTCAGGATATTAAAATTCCTTTCCAGTATTATATCACCAGCAAGTTTATAGCAGTCAACCGAGTTTTTTGTGATTAACAAGACAGGCCCCATGTAGAGCCTTGGGGCACTGTCACTGAGGGTCTTTCTAAGGTGATTAGCCCTGGTTAATTGCCATTTTTTTGGATATGGTTTTTTTTTTGGAGAGGTTTTTCACTATAGGGCATGTGCGCTTGCCAGACAGACAGAGAGAGACATAGAGACAGAAAGCGAGAAACCACCCCCCAGGGGTGATGGTCACGCCACAATCCCTTCTCCTCCATTCTCCTCTCGGGATCTTGGGCACGCACGCACACGCGCCCAGCGTGAGTTTTAAGCCACCGGGTCCAGGACGCGAACCACGGTCGACTACGTGGGAGTCCAGCGACATAGCCATTATGCTAACTGCTGGTTCCCTGGATATGGTTTTCAACCACCTTGATTTCTCTAACTCTAATCTCATTCTCACTTTTTTGTATTATCAGTGGTCTCACAGCAGTCAAGATATACTATATTTATGGAATTCACTTGATTTAGAAACTTTATATCCCTTTTGAAATAAGAAAACAAGATTTATGTGACATAACTTGCATTTACGTGTATTGTGCATAGTTTTAGCCTCCCTTTCTAAATATAAATGTCCTACTGAGCTAAAGAGGAAGACTTTATCCTAATATAGAAAATAATGACCTCTTAAGAGATGTAATTTAAAGTTCATTTTCTTTTTTATTTAGCATGCATTTACTAAGTCCCTAATCCATACCAGGCAGTGGACACCACAAAATAAAGTAAACTATGGTTTTTGCCCTCAGAAAACTTGCCATATAATGAGGGAGGTAAGAGGTGCGTCCTAGGTGGATAGTCTAGTAGCTGTTTGTGGAGAAGTACAGGAGTACATGGATTTAGAAGAACTCTTGGCCTCTGGTGCAGATGTGGCAGCGATAAGGGAAGATTTCATGTAGAGGTTGAGATGGAACCTAAGAGATGAGTGTGGTTTAGGATCTGGAGGTTCATCATATATTCAGAGTAGCAAGTCATGGATTTAACTGTAGCACAAGATGTGTGAAGGGGAACATGAGAAAAGAGGTAGCTTGAGGTACTGGAATGCAGTAGTAAAGATTTGGGGCTGGGGGTGGCGGCAGATGGCATGGTGGTTAAAGGTGCTGGACTCTCACATAGCCAACCATGGTTCAAGTCCTGGACCTGGTAACTTGCTTTCTCACTTTCCCTCTCGCTCTTTGTATCTCTCTGATCAAACTTGAAAATAATAATAATCAAGTTAAATAAAATAATTCTTTTAAAAAAGGATTTTGGACTTGGTTAAAAAGTAGGGAATCTTGGAAGGGTTTTGAGGTAGAGGATAAATAAAAATAAGCTAAGTTATAAGGTCATTCATTTGTTCTATCAACATCTATGTATTGAGTGTCCATTATTTGCCTTCTCTGCTAGAGACGAATGAATAAAAGCAAGCATGCTTCCTACACTCATGGAATTTAGAAGTAGAAAGATGTTAATTAAATGATTACACTGATATAAATGATTACTTGCAACTATGACAAGGCTACAGAGCATTATATGATCCTAAGAGGACCTGAAAAAGGGAGACTTATCTCCCCGAGAAGGTCAGGGAAGGATTTTCCCAGGGGAGCCTTTCATGTTAAAGTAAATTTTAACAGGAGAGCTGCAGGATGAGTGGCATTAACTAAATGAAGTGCAGGGGAAAGCTATAGGGACAACGGTAGCAGCCATGCAAGGCCCTGTGAGTGGGTCTGAGTGGTGAGTCTGAGTCCAAGTTCCTGTGCAGAAGAATAGTGGAAGGAGTAACAATGAAAGGAAGAACAAAGTTCAGAGGCTACCAAGACATTTCCAGTTAAGTGATTCCATGGAAGTAATGAGCATTTAAGTCTAAAATCCTTTCGAATACTTTGTTCATTTTTGTTAAACCTTCCATGATACCAAAAGACGTAAGTTTGCTTTTTCAAAACTTTCTTATCATTTTTTAATTTAATTTTTTGTTCTTGTTTCTACCTAACATTAGGAAACACAAGGTAAAAACTTTTAGTAGAGATCCCTGAGATCTGCTGGTGTCTGTTGCTGTATTTTAAGTAAAGGTAATTCACCCATCTGACACTTGAAGAAGAAACCATAATAACACTATTTTTTGCAAGTAAAGGGTTGGATGTGTCCAGAGCCTGCATCAGAAAGGGAGGACTTGGTATATTTTGAACATAAGTCATTTACTATGTTGTGCAAGGAGCATGATGGAGAATTTACTGGTGAAGAAGAAAGCAGTGCACATGCTCTAGAACGGAAGAATGACAACCCCCTAGATATAGCTGTAACCAGGCTGGCTGATTTGGAGCGGAACATTGAAAGAAGGTATCTGAAGAGCCCCTTAAGTACCACCATTCAGATCAAACTGGATAATGTGGGCACAGTTACTGTCCCTGCTCCTGCACCATCCATTAGTGGTGATGGTGACGGGTAGGTTATTGAGATTAACTTGAAAAATTATTGTGCTTCTTTGCTAATTGGAGCCTATTTTCTATTGCCTGTTATCTATGTATCTTCTTGTATGTCTGTGATCCAAATGGATCATGCTATTTGCATGGTGCTTTGTAAAACATTTTTTTTTTTGTTATGTGCGTTGATAATCCTGCAAAGTGATCTTACATTTACCTGGTTGTGACTAAGCTTTGAGGCACGTAGCCACAGTCTGTGCACTACATCAAATTTAGTTGCTTAAACCTTATACTTATTGGCTGTTACATGTTTTCGTCATTGCTTGGCTTTCAGTGTGATGATTGTTTCACATTCAGTAACCATAAGTGTGGACATGACCTACTCAATTTTTCTATATTTCAATGCAGAATTGAAGAGGATATTGCTCCAGGGCTCAGGGTATGGAGAAGGGCATTATCAGAAGCTCGCAGTGCTGCACAGGTAGCTCTGTGCATTCAGCAGTTACAGAAATCAATAGCATGGGAAAAATCAATTATGAAAGTTGTAAGTGTTTTTATTTAAGAAATATTATAACTAATTTACTTTATCCTGTTTCTCTTCCAACCTCCAGATCTTTCTTAATTGTATATTATTACCTATTGTCACAGTGGTATATACTGCACTTAAGTTTGCCTAATTCTGAAATATCATATAGTTGGATGCTTGCTTCCTTATTTTGACCTTTTTAAAGGAAACTCCCAAGTGTGTTATCTTTTCATTTTTAAAATCTTGCTTCTGCCTCCCTTGAAGATTGCTTATAACTGTAACCCAAGTTGTCTTCTGAATTCTATCAGCACAATAGTTGTTACTCTGAATATCATGAACCTTTTATTTTTACTCTTGTAACCATTCCAGTTGCTAAGATTACCTGCTGTATAACTGCACTCCTAAAATGTCTTTTTCAAAATCAGTTTTCATTTTTCTAACCCAAAGAAGTACTTAAATAAGTAAAAAATTAAGCAGAGAGCTCTCTATCTTGAGCACTTATATCAGGTATTTGGTAGATGTGATGGACATAAAGAGTGTATCGTTTAGTCTTTCCACTAATCGTGAGAACTGGTTGTAACCTCTGCTTTATGCCAGGCACCACAATGCTGTATATTCAAAGTAAGAGCTGTAGTTCATGCATTTCCAAAGATATTATTTGAAATCATGTATATGTTTCCTCTTGCCCCTTTTACATGTATTTATTACATCTTGACTTTTATAAATCACTTTAATTCTTACTTTTGAATTACAAACTAGCTTTAAAATTCAGAGATTTGGAATTTGTTTTATAATAGGTAAGGATGAAATCCCTTACTTAAAATAGTTATTCCTCAAGGAAAAGAAGTGATCCTTAAATGATTTAGCATTTTTTTCCTTCATTTTTAGCTCTGTGCTCAGACTGCTCAAGGCCTTATTCATTCTGTGTATTATAAATATATTTGGTTTTTTTTTCCTGTGGTTGTCACTTCTTCCTAAAATGTCTATAAAATGATGAATCTGCAGTTTCAATAGTATGTTCAAATTTAAGTCTTTCTCTATTCAGATTAGAATTAATATAAGTTTTAAGACATTGTTCAGTTCATCTGTTAGCATTTTTACTAGAACTTTTTTTTCTTATAAAAGTTACAAACACCAGTTTTAAAGTCACCTTGGACAAATACATTTGGTGAAATATATAACGAACAAAAAAGAATGAGTTTCTACATCAAAGTGAAATTTGTATAGTTAGAGATGTGTTTTTTTTAATTATTTATTTTATTTTATTTATTCATTCATTTCTTTTAATTTGACCAGAGAGAGAGAGAGATACACAGAGAGAGAGAGAGAAGGAAAGTGAGAAAGCAAGCCACCAGATCAGGTATTTGAACCACGGTCGGCCATGTGGGAGTGCCCAGAGCCTTAACCACCACACCGCCTGCTAGTCCCCAGAGGTGTGTTTTGTTTTGTTTTGTTTTGTTTTGGAGAGGTTTTCGCTACAGGGCGCGTGCGCCACCCAGACAGACAGAGAGAGACATAAAGACAGAAAGCGAGAAATCACCCCCTGGGGGGATGGTCACGCCGCAATCCCTTCTCCTCCATTCTCCTCTTGGTATCTTGGGCACGCACGCACACGCGCCAGGCATGAGTTTTAAGCCACCGGGTCCGGGACGCGAACCGCGGTCGACGACGTGGGAATCCAGCGACATAGCCATTACGCTAACTGCTGGTTCCCAGGTGTGTTTTTTTAATTGCCAGAGAGCAGGTGTGTTCATGAGAGACAGAGGACATGTACACACAAGTGCAAGAACAAACAAGCACCCACCCCCCAGGGTGACCACTCTGCCATCTTCTTTCCTCCATCTCTCTATCCCACAAGGATTCTGGATATGAGCACACACATGCACGGCATGTTTTTCAAGCCACTGGGGCCATAACTTGATGTTGGCAGCATGGGATCCAGCTCCCTCTACTGGGAGCACTTAATCACTGTGCTATTGTCGGCTCCAGTTAGTTTTCCCATCTGCACCGAAATAACCAACATGGTGTGGTCCGTTTGGTTCAAAAGTTATACCCAGAAACCCCAAATATATATACCAAAACCTGCTTTTATATTAATACACTTATTTTCTGCACTCTAAATCTTTATTTTAGTTTTTGCAAAGTCATTCACTTTTCCCATGTTAGTAATAAATATTCATCATTATTTAACTCCACTTCTCACAATCTTCTTTTTAAAAAATATTTAATACTACATTATTTGCTATGAAATATCCTTGAAAAGAGGGTAAACATTCATATTCCTAGATTAACCAGCACTTGGTAACCTTTAATGAGAGATTTAACAATGCCAGCAATAATCCTCATAAGTTCTATCAAAATGTGAAAGTGCTCAATATCATTAGAAGTACTCTCTTGACTGAAGACCAAGCTTACCAGGAAAGCAGGAGCTGTCATAATTTGCCTCCAGATAATTCTTTCCCCACGGTATGTTTATGCTGTTAATGTTAAAACAGTATGCAACACCTACCATTTTTTTCTGTAGCATAGGAGTTAAAACCAAATATTGAGTCTGGGGCCAGCAGATGACATGGTAGTTAAGGCCTTGAATCCCACATGGCTGACTACGCTAGTTGAGTCCCAGACTTGGTGGCTTAATAAAGTCCTGAGAGGAGAATAGAACAGGGAATGCAGCATGGTCCCCCCCTCCCCCGGGATGATTTCTCACTTTCCTTCTCTATGTCTCTCTGGTTAGCATGTGTGCCCTCTGGAAAGAAAATGAATCTTAAAACAAACACACACAAATATTAGGCCCAGTGTGGCTGCATGCACTGCTAAGACACTGTGCTCTGCAGGGAGTGGTCCACATTGGGCAGGGGGACACTTGTTTGATTCCTAATCTATCCCAAAGACTGGGCACAGTGGCAGGTATCTGTGATCCCAGCAACTCAGGGAGGCTAAGGCAGGAAAATGACAACCCAGTCTAAAGAAAAAGAAGAAGAAGAAGAATCCCTCACCCAGTATTAACACATTTGTTCTAACACATTGGGAACTATTTTTGTGATTTATTAAAGAAAGTATTTTAAGTGTGACATCTATCACCTTTTTTAAAGTATCAAAAAAAACATTACTGATTTTTCATATTACCAGATGGTGGGTGTACTCACCAGAGATAGAGAGAGCAAGAAAAGGAGAAAGCACCCCTCAGTAGGACATAGTCATGCCATAATTCTTTTTCTTTGTCTTCCCTCCCATTAGGATTTTGGGCATCCAACATGTTACTCAAGCCACGAGAGCTGGAACTCCACCCATGGTCAGCCATGTGAAATCCAGCTCCCTTAACCACTGCACTATGGCTCTGGCCCACAATAACTATTTTTAAATCATAAATGTGAGATGTAAGATAGACTGCACTGTTTTTTAGTTATTTATTGTAAAAAAAAAAAAAGTGGATTTACTTATAATCATGAATCTGATTTTTACATCTTTTTATAGGGATTTAAATATAAACTTCCAAAAGTTATATCTCCATGAATGTTTTTTAAGTAAAAAAAGTTTAAGAGATGTTTTTGCTATAGGGCACATGTGCTCACCAGAGAGACAGAAAGCAAGAAATCAACCCCCAGAGGAGATGGTCATGCTGCAAACTCTTCTTCATTCTCTTGGGATCTTGGGCACCCATGCACACATGGCTGGAATGAGTTTTAAGCTGCCGGGTCCAGAATTCACACTGTGGTTGGCCATGTGGGAGTCCATCAACTTAGCTATTATGCCATCTGCTGGTCCCTTTAAAAATAAAATTTTTAAAGATGTAACTCAAATTTGGAGAAATAACACCAACTTAACGTATTTAGTGATGTGGTACTAGGAAAGGTCATAAAATAGATACTTATTGAAATGTTAAACTCTGGGACCAGCAGTTGATGTAACGGCTATGTCGCTTGTCTCCCATGTAGTCGACCGCAAACGTGTGTGCGTGCCCAAGATCCCGGGAGGAGAACGAAGGAGAAGGGATTATGGCGTGGCCATCCTCCCTGGGGGGTGATTTCTCGCTTTCTATCTCTCTGTCTCTCTCTGTCTTTCTGGCGAGCGCATGCTCCCTATAGCAAAAACCTCTCCCAAAAACAAAAACAAAACTCTGCTGCTTTTACTCTAATATATATGCCAATTTTCATATTACATATTTTATAGATAGATAGGTAGGTAGGTAGGTAGACTCATTAACTTGAATAGTGTGTATCTTCTATATTGGTAAAAAATTTAAAAACTGTCATTGATATACTTACTGAGTTATATTGAGACATACTAAAGTTGAGCTATAATGTACTGAAAATTAAGCAAACAGTTTAAACAGTTAAGCTATTTTGTTTTTTAAGAGTATATAAATGCCTAACTTTACTTTAGATGATTTCTAGTTTAAATGTCTTCATTTTTTATAATGTTGATCATAGGACATTTTCTTCTGTGACAGAATATGAACTTAATGTCAAAAAACAATGTTAATGTTTACCATCTTTAAAAACCATCTTGGGTTTTTATTTCTCTGACTTTTCTTCTTTCCCATTGTGAAAGTTGTTATACAGAACATGTATGCATGGGGGAAAAAAATCTTCTCTTTGTAGATTTTAAGTTTTTAATTATATTAGAAATTTTTCTATACGGAAGAAATAATTTTTTGTTCTAGAAAATAAACCATGACCTGTAAAATTCTTTAATTTATTGTACCTATTTCTTTCCTTAAAAATCGTTTTGTAAGATCTATTCTCTGACCTATGACACATTTTGACTTGGGTTGGCTTGTAAAGTTTTCTGGTTTGGACATATTTTTCAATTAATCACAAACTTCAGGTGGATAATTTAGTCAAAACCTGTTTTTTTTTTAATTATATAATCCTGATGTTAATACAAGTCTCCTAATTTTTACCTTAAAAATTACTGTAACTCTTATTTCTTTCTCAGGTATCATAAGGATACTAAGATAAGCAAAAGATGAAATACATTTAAAGAAAAAATATGCCATGTATTAAAGCTATTCATTGCTTTATGTGCTCTAATGTCATGTTAAGTATTTCATATGTTAATGTGTACATGCTTTCGAAGTGTGTGCAGGCATTCGGCCCCTAGCTTTGTTCTTTGCAGTGTACCTGAAATGTGCATTTGCCCCGACAGAACTGCTCCCCTCGTCATGTGGTCCATATCTGTGTAATGAGAGATACATAGATGTGTATGGCTACTGTACATGTGTCAGCAAGCGGAATGTTCACTCTAATACACGCTAAGAATTCTGGTGTGTTTAACATCCCAGTAACTATTCTTTATACCAGAGGGTTAATTTTAAATGATTTTTCATGTATTATAGTACTGCCAAATCTGTCGAAAGGGAGATAACGAAGAACTGCTTCTCCTTTGTGATGGCTGTGACAAAGGCTGTCATACATACTGCCACAGACCCAAGATTACAACCATACCGGATGGGGACTGGTTTTGTCCAGCTTGCATTGCTAAGGTAAGACAGAGGTATGGCTAACCTTTTTAACTGCCATGTCAAATTTGAGAATTTAATGGGTATTTTCTTGGTACATGATTCACATACCATAAAATTTACCTTTTTAACAATTCAGTGGTTGTTAGTGTATTCAGAGTTGTATAACCATCACTATTCTCTAATTCCAGATAACTCTTCATAACCTCCAAAAGAAACCGTGTACCCATTAGCAGTTACTGTCCATTTTTCTTTTCTCTACAGCCTGTGGCAACCACTAACCTACATTTTTGCTCTGTTGTGCCCATTAATACAAATTGAATCATGGACTATGTGGCCTTTTGTATCTGGCTTCTTCCACTTAGCATATTTTCAATCTTCATTTCCTATCACATTTTAGTGCTTCCTTTATTAAAATATTTATGTAATTTTATTTGTGTGTGTTTGTGTGTGTGTGTGTGTGTGTGTGTGTGTTTTGTTTTGTTTTCCCGAGACAAAGAGTGAGAAAGGGTAAGTGGGAAAGCAAGCTACTAGCCATGTGGGAGTCCAGCTCCTTAACCACCACACCGCCTGCCAGCCCTAGTGCTTCCTTTTTCAGCCAGTAGTCCTTCATGTGGATATGCCACATTTTGTGTATTTATTCATCAACTGATAGGTATCTGCCTTGTTTCCACTTTCTGGCTACTATAAATCTACAAGGAACATTCATGAATAAGTTTTTGTATGAATGCATTTATGTATGTATGTATGTTTTTTGCCATGGGGGTACATGCGCTCACGGAGAGAGAAAGACAGTGGGAGAGAAAATGAGAAATCACCCTTTGAGGGGATGGCTACACCATAATCCCTTCTCCTCCATTCTTCTTTCCTTTCAGGATTTTGGGCATGTATGCATGCACGCACCCCTGGTGTGATTTTTCAAGCCACCAGTCCAGGGACTTGAACTATGGTCTGCCATGTGGGAATCTAGTACCTTAAAAACCATACCACCTGCTGGACCAAAATGCAAGTTTTTAGTTGTCTTGGATATATACCTAGGAGTAGAATTGCTAGATCATATCATAATAAGCATTTTTATTTTAAGTCATTTTCCAGTCATACTTTAAATAGAAATCCATGAATTGTCATACTAGTTAAGAGGAAGGTGATATAATAAAATAGGAAGAAGTGGGGTTTGGAATTACAGAGTAAGGAACAAGAAGTATAAAATAATCAGTATATATTTGAAGGCAGGTCTGCCTACTTTTCTCTACCTTAGTCACTCCCTCCCACATTTAATCTCTTGACCTATTCATTACCGCAACTACCACCTCCCCATAAACTCAATTCTAAACGTCCATCTGCCCACTACTTCCTTTCTTTCCAATCCTCTCCCTCTAGCACTCCCAACCATCTTTTTTTTTTCTTTTTTGAGAGGTTTTCGCTATAGGGCACGTGCGCTCGCCAGACATAGAGAGACATAGAGACAGAAAGTGAGAAATCACCCCCCAGGGGGGATGGCCACGCCGCAATCCCTTCTCCTCCATTCTCCTCTCGGGATCTTGGGCACGTATGCACACGCACCCGGCGTGAGTTTTAAGCCACTGGGTCCGGGACACGAACCGCGGTCAACTACATGGGAGTCCAGCGACATAGCCATTACGCTAACTGCTGGTTCCCCCAACCATCTTTTGATCACACCAAGGTCGCCAATTCATTTTTCGTAAGACCTTTTCACTGTACTTGCTCCTTCCTGTCTTCTCTTCCCTCCTAAGCTATCTTATGATGTGTCAGTATCCCATTTTCCTAATCACTGCATTCACTTTTAGGTCCTTTGTCTGTCTGTCTGTCTGTCTCTCTCTCTCTCTCTCGATAAAACCATCATACTGGTTCATCTTATTCTCTGTCCTCTCCTAGAATCAATACCTTTGTGTCTGAGTTTGATTGTGGAAAATACCCAGCCCTTTCAAGGCATTGAGAAGGGCCTGATGATTATCTAATAATGTGTCTCCAACACTGTCTCCTCCATCCTCATACTCAATTAATGATCTTAACTCATCCCACTGAAAAAATGGAAGCCATCCAAAGAAGACATTACAAGATCTAGCCATTGCATCTACTGGTCTCATCTTCTCTCCGGTGGCTGTGAACTGCTAATTCTCCTAAGCAGTCCCCCACTTGTGCTTCAGATCCCATCCCTTCTTACCTCCTTAAGAACATCCTACAGCAGCTCTCCCTTCTGTATCCCCAGTTTCTCTCTCTCCTGGGTTCCTCTCATTGGCCTACAGACATGTTACTATTTTTCCCATTTTAAGAAAACTAAGCAAAAAAAACCTTTTTCTGATCTCACATCTCCTTTCACCTATTTCCTCCACTTATCTTCTTCCCTTTACAGAAAAATCTTGGAACTTTCCTTTTCTGATCTCTTTAATTTGTCTCCTACGACTTGCTCTTGAACTCACTCTAGTCAGATTTTCACCTCCTCCACAGTTTCTCTGAAATTGCTTTCATCATGGCCACAAACAACTTCCACATTGCTCAGTCTCGTCAACAGTGCTTAGGCCTCATCTGACCTATCAGTTACCTAGAGTTGAACACTCCCACCTCCCAGAACACTACGTTTTCATTTGGTTTCTTGGATATCACACTCGCCTGATTTCCTTCCTGCCCTTGCTCCTTCTCAGTCTCCCTTGCTGATTTTTCCTTTGTTCATCTGTAAACATTGGAGTGCTTTCTTAGCTTTAGGGGAAATTGGGGTAGCATCTGCTTTGGGGACTTATGGAGGATCAAATCAGGTCATGTACATATGGAAGTTTTTGTAATTTTAAGAGTTCTTTGAAATGCTTATATTAATATTTTATGATATTTTGGACCATATTTTACAAAATAGCAAGGTTCCATGTGGCATCATATTCACTAATTATTGCTCTTTGATTTCCCACTACTTGATTATAGTTGTCATACACAATTCGTGTAGTTTGACAGTGATATTCACTCATCATACATGAATTATCTTTTAGTTCATAACTGTGAGGTTACTGAAGGTTTCTTATGAATTACTAAAAGGTAAAATGTTTTAAGTCCTGGGGTTATGACATGGTAGGCCATTGAATATTTTCTTTTCAGTAAATGTGCTTAATTAGAGAAATGTAGCGGTCTAGCAGTCAAGGGGTGGACTTAGAAGCATAAGACCTCTGATCTTATCCAAGATCTTCTAAGTAAATGCAGCTTTCTAAATCTCTGCTTGGTTTTTTGCTTTAAGTGTACCGAACTGATGTTATATTTCTTACATTAAAATAATACATATCCTAAACTCTTGATTTTGATATATAAGGAAAAGTTAAGGTCTTTAAACTATCTTTCCGGTTAATTCATGGTTATTTCCAAATAATTTATATTACATATCTTGCTCTCAAATGGCTATTTCTGCATACATCACCACGACGAACTATTTTTACTTTTTGTTTGTGTATATGTAGATAATCACAGGATCAAAATACATGTGGACACATACACGCCCCACTCTCACATACTGGAGGGTAAAAGCTCCAGTATCTGTGAAAGCCACGCAAATAGACTGAGAGAGCTCACTGGACCCGTAGCGGGCAGTCGGGCAACCTAGAGAGGCAGGCCTCCATTTCAGTGTGATGTCCTCCCTCAGCTCCAGCCAGCGAGTGGCCTGGAGAATGTGAGCCCTAGTGTTCCAGGATCTTACAGTGTTTTAAGAGAACTCTAACTTACAGATTTGTATGTATATCTTCCCAAATATTAAATATATGAAACGAACTCAGAATTTTTACAAACATCATATTAGCTAAATAGCACATTCAGTGTGCTGTGCTGTGGACAGCCTGTGAGCTATCAGTTCATAATTTATCTCTCTCTCTTTTGAAAAAATTTTTGCTAACAGATGCCTGCATTTGCCAGAGAAACAGAGGGAGAGAGAAAGTGAGAAAGCAGCCCCCGGGGGGAGGGTGTTCTGCTGCACTCCCTTCTCTTTCATTCTCCTATCAGGATTTTGGGCACACATGCATATGTGCCCAGCATATTTCTCAAGCTATCATGTCTAGGACTTGAACTATGCAGTCAGCCATGTGGGTTCCAAGCACCCCAACTATCATACCACCAGCTGGCCCCACAGTTTCTCATATATAAATATGCAAATGTGACATTAATTACACATACCTTTGTACATGTAATTTGGTAAGTTCTGCATAAGACCCACTAAAATTCCTCTTTAAATTTGTGCTCTAACAAGAAGGGCATATCTGTGCAAGAAAAAAAATAATCACATATAACAGACTAACATATAAAAGCTTGCTTTTAAGATATATGTATGTTCACTGTCTAGTGAGACATAGTTAGGTAAGCATCATTTATTGAAGAAATAGAAAAATTCTGTGATTTCAATTTCATATTCCCTTATCGTATTCATCTGTTACAAAATGATCCCAAGTAATATTATTTCAAAGAGAAACTAAATTTGGCCCATTCATGCAATTTTTAAAAATAAGGTAACTATTCAACCTAACTTAATTTAATCTTCATTAAATGAACGTTTTCATTATATTAATCATTCTCTCTGTTTTAAATGATTTCAGAGTGCAAAAAGCTTAGTGTAATAAGAAAACCCTAAACAATCAGATTTTAGTGATTAAACTAAATGGAGAAAACATGTAGCAAAACATTTTAGTTATTCCAGATAGTGACAAAGATAGTGATTCTTTGGTATGGTATGGGAGAATGTTGGATTTATGGTTTGCCTTATTATTTTAGTCAATTAAAATATCTCCTTAACTGTACTTTTAACCTGCAGTAGAGAATAATTTTAATTGACTGATTAAGAGCACTTTAAAGTAATAGTGCTGGGAGGGATCATGAAATCTTCAAAGATACTGCCATAAAATTTTCCAAAGAAATATTTTCAGCCAAATTCATTTTAAGAATATAGCCAACCGGGACCAGCAGTTGGCATAATGGCTATGTTCGCTGGACTCCCACATAGTCAACCACAGTTCAAGTCCCGGACCCGGTGGCTTAAACTCATGCCAGGCACATGTGCGTGCATGCCCAAGATCCCAAGAGGAGAATGGAGAAGAAGAGATTGCGAGGTGGGGGGGATGATTTCTTGCTTTCTGTCTCTCTGTCTCTCTCTGTCTTTCTGGCAAGCGCACGTGCTCTATAGCAAAAACCTGTCCAAAGAAAAGGAGTACAGCCAACCTCCAGTTATTGCTGAAGGTTGTGACTGGGCTGGTATGTGACTGCCGTCTAGGGTTTCTAGGGTTTCTTCATAGTCTGGAAAGTTGGGCCTGCACTATTTTGGGGATTCAGACCAAACCATATATTACCAGTGACTTTACTTAAATCTTTTTGATGATTATTATTTATTGTAGCTTTTACTCTCAAAAGACAGAGCTATTTCCCTATTCCTAAAATCAGGGTGGGGAGCTCATTAGTGCATCAGTGTGTTTGCTTACAGTTTATGGTTAGATCGTATGAGGCCACTCAGATTTTTTTTCCATGTAATTATAGAGCTGGAATGACTTTAGGAAATGTGGGACTTGTCTTTCTTATTTCACAGATGAGAAAACAGGACCTTATAGATATTTTCACCCAGAGTTCCATCTTTTATATCATTCTTTTCTATATCGTTTTCCTCAAAAATAGACACCTTTCTCTCCCCATCTTTCACCACTACTTTGTTCACATGTAGGAACTTCAAGTTTGTGTTTTGGCTGACCTTTTTATTACCTCTTCAAATTTCTTATTAATAAAATCTATATGTTTTATTTTCACTTTTGTTCATAATTTTAGTGTGCTATGAAAGAGAGGATTTTTTTGGTATCTCTAAACGTATTCAGCTAGTGACCAAGACTGAAGGAATACTGCTATTAAGTTAGGTAGTACCAAAGATAGATTACCATGATATCAGCAAATTCAAATTTTAAAAATTCTTATGATGAATATACTTCTGATGCTTTATTAGATTTTTTTTTCTTTTTTGGAGAGGTTTTCACTATAGGGCGCATGCACTCACCAGACAGAGAGAGACATAGAGACAAAAAGCAAGAAATCACCCCCCAGGGGGTATGGTCACGCCACAATCCCTTCTCCTCCAGTCTCCTCTTGGGATCTTGGGCACGCATGCACATGCACCTGGCATGAGTTTAAGACACCAGGTCCAGGACTTGAACTGTGGTCAACTACATGGGAGTCCAGCGACAGCCATTATGCTAACTGCTGGTCCCCCCTACATGAGTTTTAATCTGCTGGGTCTAGGACTTAAACCATGGTTGACTACATGAGAGTTCAACAATGTAACCATTATGCCATCTGCTGGTCCCAGATTTTACCCTTCTATTATTGGAAAACAAGTTCACAGATTTTTTTTTTTTCTTTAGAGTGATAATAGAATCATCCATTTTCTAGATCAGAGTTAATATTCTTGTTTGTCCTGTCATATTTCTATAATCTAAAATAATAGAAGGTCTGTAGAATTATTTTCTTACACCTCATTCAATTTTTTTAATTAAAGGCAAGTGGTCAAACTCTAAAAATCAAAAAAATTCATGTCAAAGGAAAAAAGACTGAGTCAAAGAAAGGCAAGAAAGTAACTTTGGCAGGTGATACTGAAGATGAAGATTCTGCATCTACAAGTAGCTCACTAAAAAGAGGAAACAAAGACCTCAAAAAAAGAAAAATAGATGAAAACACGTCTGTGAACTTGGCAAAACAAGAAAGTTTTACTTCTGTTAAGAAACCTAAAAGAGATGACTCCAAGGACCTAGCTCTTTGCAGGTATTATTTCAGGTTTCATGTACTGTGTATTTATATTACAAGCTACTTTCTGAGAATTTGTATAAACAGAAAACTGTAAAGTATAACTACAAGTGAATGTATAAGAAATGTTTTCTTTGTCTTTTTTAATAAATTAATTTGTGTTGAGCTTTTACATGAAGTATTGTGATAGAAAGCAAATATTTTTATAAAATAGATAATTCTGAAGTCTAGATACTCATTTTTAACATTATTTTCTTTAGTATGATCCTGACTGAAATGGAAACTCATGAAGATGCATGGCCTTTTTTACTTCCTGTAAACTTGAAACTTGTTCCTGGTTATAAAAAAGTTATTAAGAAGCCTATGGATTTTTCTACAATTAGGGAGAAACTAAGTAGTGGACAGTAAGTAAATCATTTCAGTTCAGTAAATATTTATAGACTACCTGATATGTCCTGGGTACTTTTCTAGTAAGCCAAAGATGTATTACTTAACAGCAAAGTCACAGCCTTGCCTTAGAGAGGGAGGGGCATAAGTGTGTGTGTATTTGGTTGGGGTGGTATAGTATGAAGACAAGTCAATCAAAAATACTTAATAACTGGGGGCAGCAGGTAGTATGGGATTAAAGCACTGGACTACCATATGGCCGACTGAGACCCGGTGGCTTAAAAATCATGCCAAGTGTGAGTACATGTGTGCTCAAAATCCCAATAGGATACTGGAGGAAAACGGATTGTGGCATGGCCATCCTCCATGAGGGGTGATTTCTCACTTTCCCTCTCTCTGTCTCTCTGTCTCTGTCTGTCCGGCAAGCACACACATCCTATGGCAAAACATAAAACAAAAACAAAAAGAAAAAAAAAACCACCAGTATTTATTAACTTAAAAAGCAGTGCAATAAACCTGATTTTGATATTGGAAGAGCAAGAAACCCAGATAGGGTGTAAGAAAAAGTATTGGGAAACCTCCCAAAGTGATATGTAAGCTGGAGTTATCATTTTGCATCAGTGGAATATTGACATCACTTCATGTGGATATAACAAAAATTGACTCTATTTGCAGACTTTTATAATATAGAAATAGAAGGTCATTGGAAAAATGTTAAAACTAAAAGTTTTATTATGAGTTGTTGGAAAATACTAAACATGTTTGTAATGTGGAAGAAAACTGTTATTTCTCTTTACTGTATTCTCTTTGCTATACTATTTTAAGAGTAAAGTAACTTTTTCACGTAATTAATGATCTTTGTTAGACTACCTCAAACTCCTGCCAGAGTAGCAGCTCTTAGATAACATAATTCAGTTGGTTCTGGACAGTGGCCCACTTTGGAGCCACAGGAACAAGGTCGGCATGTGCAGAAAATGGCTCTCCACGTGGGAAGGGAATGGCCAGCACTGTCTAGCTGGCGCCTCTTTTCCACTCTCTGTCTGTCCTCCCACACACCTGTAGTTTAACATAGCCTTCCCTACCAGAGGAAGATTACCTTAACCACCGCCCATGACACCAGGCAGTCAACAATATGGAGGCAGAAGGAGCTTCACACTGAAAGAATATATTTTAATTATATTACTATTTTTGTCGTGATTATACAGTATATTATTCAGTTCTTCCTCAACATTTCTTGTGCTCCATGATTTGTATTCAGTTTAGAAGGGTTGATAATGGGGCTTAAAATAATCAGTGTCTCTCACATGTACCACATGATTTGCCAAACTGACCAAATGACTGTTTCCTTGTAGGCTGAAATGTCAATCTTTCAAAAGATTATGTCTATTTCTATTTTTTTCTTTTTAAAATTATAAATAGAACCTGCTCAAATTCAGGAAACTTTTAAAACTACTAAAATTATAGATCCCGACATGAACCAAACAGCAAAAGCTGTAGTCTAAAGATAGACTCATTCTTTAGCTTTTGTATCTATCAAAATAGTCAGATGTCTAGGTGGGCAGCACCGTTGAATTTATCATTAAATGACAAGGACAGACTTACTGATGAAGACTTTACCATGGTTTAACCCTTAACTCTAATTTTCCTGATCCTCTATTTTCTGAATGGAGGATAAACCTAAACCTCAAAATCTCTCAAACAAATAAGCTTAGAAGTTAACACAAAATAACACAAAATGCTACAAAATTAGATCTTCTTTCTGAAAATGAGTCCTTTTTTTTCCCAAGAATTATTTATTCATTATTGAATTTGCTATAGGGCACATGCACTTACCAGAGGAAGAGATGGGGAAGGGAGAGTGGGAAAGCAACCCTTCAGGTCTTGGATTAGAACTGCTGTTGGCCATGTGAGAGTCCAACACCTTAACCACCTCGCTACCTGCTGGCCCCAAGAATGAGTATGTTGAATGGGGATGCCACCGTGGAGGAGGCCAAGAAAGGGAAGTAACTTGCATAGTCCTGTTTGTGATGCCAGCCATGTGGGATGCCACAATACTTCTTTATATTTTTAAGTTTACCCATTTTTTTTTCCATGAGAGAGAGAGACTGGCATCCCCAACAGAGTCCTTACTCAGTCCACCTCAGTCTCAGGCAGCCTGGCTCATGCTCAAGGAGGTCCCAGGATGCAAACCCACCACACTACCACCTGTCCTCCATTATGCTTCTTACGGAAAGGTAGTCCTGGGTCAGCTCCATGGCCTGGTGGTTAAGGGAGCTGGATCCCTTACGGCTGACTGCATAGTTCAAGTCCAAGACCCACTGGCTTGAAAAACAATACACAGGCCACATGTGTGTACATGTCCACATTCCCCAAAAGAGGGAGAGATGGAGGAGAAGGTTTTGTAGCATGGCCATGGGGAGCTACTTTCCTCCTCACCCTCTCTCTCTGTGTCTCTGGTCAGCACATGTACCTCTGGCAAAAAAAAAAAATAATAATAATAATAATAATAAAGAAGGCAGTCCCTCATCACATTCTCTAGTAAACGGGTAGCACATGCTTTTTTTTTTTTTTTTCTTGTTTTAGTCCATCATACTCAATATGCAAAAGAGCATATTAGAAAAGATGAAAAATGAGAAATGAGGGAGAGCTAACTCAGAGCAGCATATCCTGACATGTATACAGCAGCAACCAGGGAAACGTGATAATCTAGTGCACAGGAAGCATTTCCATTATTTCTGCTGCAACTGAACATTTTGAATGCAGATAACTTGATACTGTAAGTGATGTTGTTGATCAGAATTAACAATCTAGGCAGGTGGAATGAGTTCTGTAATAGGATAATTGTGCAGGTCAAAGAGGACATGGAGTGTGGGGAAAATACTAGTTAGTTGCAGTATACCTTGATCATCATAGAAATCTTTTTTTTTTTTAATTTAACCTATCCTTAAATCTTATGTGGTCCAGAATATAGTGGAATGTTCTTAAATGTTCCATTTCTTACAGGTATTATATATTTTATGCCTGTTTAAATCAAGTTATCCTGATCTTTTTCTTTCAGTTTCACTTTTCATTTCACCTTCTATCAGCCCTTCATTTTCTTTGCAAAACAGTCATCTCATGTAAGCAATCTCTAACTGTGTGTTTTCTTTCAGGTATCCAAACCTTGAAACCTTTGCTCTAGATGTCAGGCTTGTTTTTGACAACTGTGAAACATTTAATGAAGATGATTCTGATATAGGCAGAGCTGGCCACAGTATGAGGAAGTATTTTGAAAAAAAATGGACAGATACTTTCAAAGTGAGCTGAAGTTACAATAATCTCTTTTATTTTTCCTTTTAAACAAGGACAAATGAGACCAGCAATGTGAACTGTATTTACATAAACGTGCAAGGCACATACATAATGACTTTTTTTTTTTCTTAAATAAGTATCAAAAAAAAGTATCAGAAGAATGATACCATTTTTAAAGGCTTCACTCCTACAACAACCAAGGCCCTCGGTTATTGGTTTGTGTGATTTATCAGCTAATTTAGGTAGAACAGGGAAGCACACCCAAAGAATTTTCAAAGGAAAGGGTGTTATAGTGCAATAGCAATTAAAATATATCAAATCGCACTGAATATTCAACACCAGAGCTCTAATGTGGGAAATGGTTCTCCTTTCCCTCTCAATAAATATCTATTTTTCATTTTTTTACTTTGTAGTTTATTTTTTAGTGAATGTATTTAATTTTATGAATTATTTATGATTAAACCACATCCAGAATCTTCGTTTTCTGTGAAAAGGAAGAACTAGAAAATTGCTTTAAATCTTGAAAATACAACAAGGAATGTTTTAAAATATAAAACAAAGCCAAGTTAAACTGTTTACACTGATGTGCTATAAAAGCACCAAAAATAAACTTTACTGTAGAGTTACAAGTACATTTATATATATATATGTTGCTGCATCACTTGTGTAGTTAAATTGTATTTCCAGACAGTGAAAAGAATTGACATGTATATACTGTTCATTATTGTTTATATTCAGTCTTGTTTTAAATATGTACTATGTGTATATATTGTTTGCAGACATTATTGTTTATGCCTTAGAAGGACGGTAGCATTTTATTTTAGTCGGGAGGTAATGATAGCTATCCAGCTTGTACAGTGATTATCCTCTACCAACACTGTGGCGTCTCCTTAATCTTGGTAGTGCCTGCCTTCGAAACAGGGTGTAGGGGATATTAGTTTTCCATTTTTCTATTTTGTTATATAATTTTAAGCCACCAGGGCCTAAATTAAAGTATAATCATTTGTATCCATGTGGAATAAAATTGTGACAATTTCCTACACACACAGTATTTTTTCATAGAAACATTTCCCTCCCATTTGCCTTGCCTCAGAAATAAATTTAAAAGACATTTGTAACCACTGTGTTTTATCTACTGTGTGTTGTGGTGGCCTGTTGGAGGCGAATAGATCAGAATTTTTTTTGTACCTATGTAAGAGTACTTGAAGTTTTATTTAAAATAAAATGTTGTGGAAAAGGTAGCATTCTTTTTTTTAGGAGTGTTATTTTTCACTATGTGTGGCACGGATACAATAAAAGACTTTTACAAACTAGATTTTTTTTTTTTAGTTTTTCTTAATGAACCTGAGAATAGATCCTTTCCAACAAGCCAGTTCACTTAAACTTGATTTTTGTAGAGTTCCCAAGGAGGGGCAGGTGGAGTGTGCTTCAGAGAGCATTGGGTTGGGTGGAGGAGGATGGTTTGAGAGGCTGAACATCTCGAGTCTCTGAGCGTCCCGAGTCCATAAACTTCTTTAGGACTCATTTTAAACATTTCTCTCTTCACATTTTCTTTTTGAAAATATCAGAGTACACTTTTAAGTTCGTGTTCTGATATGAGAAATGTATCTTCTAATAGTCACACAGCCTGGCTGTCAATAAAACACTCATCACATTAACTGAGTCTGTTTACTAAGCCCTGCGATGCAGTCAGGCATTCGTACAACCCTCTGATGCTTTTTGCTGGGCCCTTTTGACCCTAGGGAATCAGTGAGGAACCAGGCAGGCCCTGCCTTCATGAGGCTTACCAGCCTTGTGAAGTGAGCTTTGGACAATATCCACTGCTTTTAATAGTGAAGGGAGAATGGAAAAATTTCAAAGGAATATTCTTAAATTTCAAGTGCTTCCAAGCCACAGATTATTCTCCAGAATCTCTAGGTTTGGGAGAAAGACTTTTTATGAAAATGAGCTGGAGTAATGTAAGTATGTCCATTTATGTTAACCAAATAGTGCAGTGATGCCCTGAGGGGCCGGTGCCTAATCAGAAATGCCTTGTGTGGCAGGGGACAAGGTGACACTGTGAATCCAGCATCTGTTGTTTGTGTTTTGGAAACTCCAGATGCTTCATGGGGATCCTTCTTCAAGAGAGTTCTTGCCTTCCAGGCAATATGTGCTCATGTTAAGTTATATTAGATGGTATGTAAGGGGCTTCATAACATGTCTGGAGTCTGAAGGGCTCATAAATGAGAAAGTATGTAAATAAGTAGGAAGGCTTTTTTTTTTTAAGAGTGGTCATTTTCTTTAAATAATAAGTAAGATGTCCCTTAAAAAAAGGAAAGTTTGGTAAATATTTGTGCCTTTGGACTGGACTGATGTCTTCATTGTTACTCAGCAGAGGTAGCCGTTGAAGAAGTAGCAGGGACGATCCCCAAAGGGGGCCACATTTGGACTAGGTGACAAATGTTCCTTTATATGGACAGATCACTTTGATGCAGATGATATATGCACCCACAGTGCCACATAACACGTTTTCTCAAGAAAAATCAGCCTTGTTCTCAAATAGCAGTGTTTTAAGGCTCAGCTAGAACAATGACAAGTATACACAACATAATTTAATTAAGATAAATTATGCTATAACCTGAACCTTTTTTTATTCCTAAATGTTTTAGAAATTGTAAAAGACTGGCCTACCTCAAGTTTAGATTTAGATTATCACTCAAGTAGTGATCAATCAAGGTTAACCAGGTAAATGATCTAATACTAGTAAGTCTAGAAAATAATTATCAGTTTGAAACAATATACAGCAAATGGTTACTGAGCTATAACTACATATTGTAGTGAAAATTAAATGGATAAGACACAGTGAGAGAGAAAGTGAGAAATCACTCCCCTGGGGGATAGCCACTATGAAATCTCTTCTCCTCCATTCTCCTCCTAGGATCTTGGGTACGCACACTCATATGCCCAGCACGAGTTTCAAGCAACCAGGTCCATGACTCGAACCATGGTCAGCCATGTGAGAGTCCAGCAACGTAACCACTAAGCCATCTGCTGGTCCCCCAAATTAGCTTGTCCTCCCTAGATTTAGCTATTCCTTATGTACCATACTTCCAAATGTTGTTTTTGTTACAATAATTCATAATCTCTATTAATCTCAGTAATACCTAAGAACTCTCAATATTGTCTATGAATCTGCACATACCTGAGCTTTTTCTTTAGCTGAGCCTTCCAAACTAACCAAATCCTTGCCGATGCATTTGACAAGGATTTCATTACATATTCTAATGAAAATTAAACAGGTAAAAGAATTTATCTAGAGACATACCTTGAACTCAAGTAAATCACCACAAATGCAAGGTGATCTTGTTGCAATCCAAAATAAAATTTACTACAGTAACTAATTTTGAGCTGGCCTCATGGCCTAGTGGTTAAGGGAGCTGATTCCACATAACCAAGCATGTGGTTCAAGTCCCAGTCCTACCCACTTGAAAAGGGGTGTGGTGCTCGGCACATGTACATGCACACCCAAAAATCCCAAGAGGAGAATGGAGAAGGGATTGCGGCGTGACCATCCATCCTGGCCGGTGGGGAGGACAGGGGAAGAGGGATGATTTCTTGCTTTCTATCTCTCTGGTGAACGCATGCATCCTATCACAAAAATCTCTCTTAAAAAATAAAAAAAGAAAAGGGGTATGCCTGCCCCAAATCCCAACCGGATGGAGACATGAGGGAGAAGTGATTGTGGCAAGACCACACTCCCACTGGGGAGTGCTTTCTCTTCCTCCCTCTCTCTCTGTCTCTGTTTCTCTCTGGTGAGTGCACATACTTTCTAGCAATTAAAAAATAATAATTTTAATCAAAACTGTGAAGAACCTAAAGTATCATTCGTACGTTAACATACCCTTCTATACTTGTGCTTATTTTCTTCCCCTCCACCCTCAGGCCCTTTGAGGAAATTTAGAATCTTCTTCCATTCACTTTCTTCCATTGAACACATCCTCAACAAAGACATCTCATGTGAATATCAGTTAGTTACTTATTATTGTAAATTTGTGAGCTACCCCTCTCAATATGATGTACATTTTAAATATCTTTGAAATAAAGGAAGTTCATATTTTATTAAAAGAATTTCATTCCAGTAAGGAGCTAAGGGAAGTATTTTAGGAGAACTGAAACTTTCTTTCTATGAGAATATTACTCTGAAACAAGGGGACTTTAAAAAGCTCATGGAAAATTGAATTAGTTTATTTTGATGACAAAAAAATACTGACATCTATGCATAGTCTGTAATATGCATTTCCCATGACCTTTTGAAGACACTTCATATATGAAACCTTATTTCCAAGGCCTCAAATGATCCTTGATTTCTAGTATTAATTCATATATAATCTCTTCTCACATTATATCAGGGTTAGTCTATAATCCCTTCTCACATTGTATCAGGGTTAGTCTTCGTGACCAACTTAAGATGGCACATGAATTCCCAAACTAAGCAATAAAATACCTTGCTGGTTCCACCTTATTCTCTTGGCTTACTTGCTCTGGGTAAAGCCAATCACTGTGTTAACACTAGCAACCTGTGGAGCCAGCCAATAACTCACCACAGCTTGCCAGGCATGACTGAAGCATCTTAGAAGGAAATTCTTAAACCCAAACTAAACAGATGCTTGGAGCCCCAGCCAGCAGCTTGACTGCAGTTTCATGAGAGACCCTTAATCAGAACTGCCCAGCCAAGTCAACACTGAATTCCTGATCCACAGAACCCATGAGATACAAATGATTATTGTTTTTAACCACTTGGTTTTGAGTGTACGTTACCCAGCAATAGGACACAGTGCACTGTGGGAAGAGTTTCTCAGGATCTCTGTAGAGCAGAGAATCCCCTGTGGTTGGGTACAGCACACTTAACTTTCCATGATCTTGCTCTGCTCTCCAGGTGACTGCCCTAGTCTACACGCCTACCCTGAGTGGAAGGGGATTCCTTTTCCCTACCTCCCAACCAATGTTCAATATTTGGATTTTTTCACTATTACAGATCTTGAATTTTGAAAATTATCAAGCAGTTTTTCAAATTAAAAGAGCAGCTTCAACTTTGATTTGCCTTTTTATGGTTTTTGTCTTATGTAGACATACATAATGCCTTCTGGATACTATAGAAACTTCCCCCAAATTTTAGTGTAAGTCAGTAGTATTCAGGGGATTAAATATTGGCAAGGATTTGGTTAGTTGGGAAGGCTCAACTAAGGAAAAAGCTCAGGAGTTTGGACACACATGTACACATGTCCAGTGTGAGTTTCAAACCACTGGGTCCAGGACCCAAACCGCCATTGACTACGCGGGAGTTCAGCACCTTAACCACTACGCCACCTGCTGGCCCTGAATATGGGAAGATTTTAATGTCTTATCATTTGTATATTGTGATATTTCTGCAACAAAAGAACATTGCTTGCTATTTTTAACATTTAAAATGTTGTCTTTCACAACCAAGCATAATACATTTAGTTGGTAGATGTCACTGGTGAGTACATTAAGTCATGTAAGGATTAAAAATTAGGATATGACATTACATAATAATTGAAATTGCTCCATTCCAGGACACTTTTCTCCACATATATTCCTGAGAATTTGAAATAATCTTGGCTTTCTTTTTTATCACATTTTCCAGTTCTGCCTCTTGAAAATGATTTCTGAGCAGCTGATTGGAATTACATATATTTCCAAAGTTCTTCTAAATCATGTTGATATAGCCTTGGTGTATGCACAGAAGACCTTGCCATTTTGTATGAATTGGCTTTCTTCCCCTTTTAAAGTTCCTGTGAGCAGCGAGAACTCACATCTCCCATAACTAGGAGTTTCGCTCTGATGGGTGATGTATCTGCCACTCGTGCCTGACAGTTTTTTAAGAGTGCTTCTTACACATCTGTAAACACCTAGCATTTAGTGTAACATCTGACATAGTAAAGATGGCAAATAAAACTTCGCCGATAAAACTTCCCGTCAAGGAAGATACTCAAAAGAATGAGCCACGTGCTCTGAAAGCACTGCCTAATTTTG